ATGGAGTGGTCTTGGAGATGCAACAAAATGTGATGTTAGTCCCAACCATAAAAACATGATCACGAGGATAGACAGTTATTCTCGTGGCAGTAAGATCTTTTCCTGTTATTTTAAAGGCAAAAAAGTTACGTTAAATTCAGTTTGTTGTTCAGTTGTTATTCTCTTTTGCATAAAATGTGCATACAGAATGAGAGCGACCTGTGGCTACAGACCTTCGTACGTGTATAATGGTGTCCATTCACCAGTGTGATCCTGATCTCGACGCCTAAGTCTGACCGAATGGGAGGTGCACTGCAATGGTATAGGTGAGGTCCATTTCCAGTGACGATGGGTTGTATTGTCTGGCGTCACATGTACGGTTTCCTAAAACAGTTTTTCTCATTGAAAAGACATATCTTCCATTGCTCCAGCAAAGAATCTCAAAAGATCAACTTACATTGTGAACAAGATTCATCTTTTCAGTATGATAAACCTGCACCTCATAGACTTCCACGGATTCATTATTTTCAGCAAACCCATCTCTCCATTCAACATTCAACACCCATGCACCATAATCATCGGTGTCTGTTTCTGCATACACATTCACCTCTTTTATAGAAAGTGGATGCCCTGTTGATACACAATTTGAACATTTATTCTAATTAAGGGTCTCAGATAACATTTGAAATAAATGGCTATTGTATAAGAGTTTAATGATATAGTTGAATGCATTTAAGACTCACCATCCTGTTCCGTTGTGCAAATCAGAGAAGAAAGCAAAGCACTGAAAAGCCAGACTGACATTATAGAACTCATCAGTGTCTCCACTAGCAATCAGATCTGCTGAGGAAACAAAATGACATTAACCATGGCTGAATAACATCTTCTAAAAAGGTATTAAACAAAAATAAACAAACTGTCTTCCCTAATGGGTTTTAAATTAAAGGACATTTACGGGAGATGGTAAAGTGGAGAGAGACTGACAATGGAGTCATCAAGACATGACTCAAACCTGAATTCCCATGTGTACAGTTTACAAAATGGTTTTAGTTATTTGGACTTTGACACTCCAAATCATTTGTGAGTACAAATAGTATGTTTATATAACCCCCAAAATGTTTCCTTATAAGAAACTGGAAGACCTGGAAGGAAGAGAGGGCTATACTATCTCCATACCATATAATAGCAATTTTGTTTTTGCTATTACCATCCTCATACGAGACACAATCACACTTGAGTTGATCACCTCCCAATTTACACATCATTCCCTTCAGCCATCCCTACCTGAAATCACCCAAAAGTCTATATGGTTTAATATGAACAATTATCATACAGTACACTCTAAAAAATGCTGGGTTGTTTTAACCCAACTTTGGGTCAAATATGGACTAACCCAGCCGTTGGGTTAAATTTTTACATTACATTTTTAACCCAACATTTTGGGTTTGTCCATATTTGACCCAAAATTGGGTTAAAACAACCCAGCATTTTTTAGAGTGTATTATACATGTTTGGTGTTGCAACCAATTGCAACTGATACAAAGGTCTCATTCAGAAGTAAAGCAGGTAAAGGTGTGGAGAGTTTAGAGATATCTTGTTGACTGTGTGCCCCCATGTAAATCAACTTCTGCCCCCATTAAGTCTGGGACGGTGATTAATGCAAATTCTCTCTGTGAACTGATGTTTACATTTGAACTGCCTTGATTTATGGAGATGCTGAAGAAGGCTCGTGGTGATTTGTAACTCAAATTAGCCTGTGATTGTGGAGTATACGCAAAACATTCCGCTTTATGTATTTTATAATGTCAGGTTCGCATCTTCTCGCTTTATTCAAGAGCATTTGATGTTTTGTATTTATTATCTTTGAACTGATTATGAAATTGGCATGATATATTTACCTGACATGATAAATTGTTACATTTGATTTTATTCCGACTGACTCTGAAATTGTTTTCCCAAGTACATCAAACAGATTTGTATGTTACCGGTCAGATTAGTGACGACTAATATTTGGCGCTAAAATTCAAGTGTAGGCCTACTTGTTTTGCAAAGAAGTGAATTTCCGTTTAGGGCAGCAAATTTCAGCTTGACCAATCTAAATCTGGGTGTGTCTTACCTCTGTTTTATTTAATGTTACTTTAGATAAGTGTACGTGAGAAACCACGGCATGACCAATCCAAAGCTATCATAAGAGAAGTAAAGTTGCTTGGCTTATGTAGTAGTGGCCATACCTCTGCCTAAAGTAAACGTTACTTTAATTTCAAGTACATGCAATCATGGGGGCAGCCGCCATATTGAAATGGGTCCGATGGAAAGAAAACTGGAGGTGTCGCCTTTAATCATTGGAGAGTCGCGAATGCGATGGCGTATTGTTGTGTTTAATGTAGAAATTTGTTATTCTAAAAATGTACATACATTTCTTTCATACTTTAGACTATGTACTGTGAAATTCATTTATAAAATAAAATATTTTTTTATATATAATTCAGAATGTAAAAAAAGAAGCAGGAATAACTATATATATATCCTATATTGGATATTAACATCCAATAATGTAAATTGCGGCAGCAGCTTCAGGTTGGTGCTCCAAGGCATTATTATTGTTGCTCCCACCGGAGCCTCGCTTTCGATTTCAAAATGGCGGCTGCGTGAAATCAGCGTATACCAAAGTATCTTTGATTGAGTAAGCGTGAACGCGACTGATCTCAGGTAGCAATTAGGCCTACCTCTGTTTTAGTGACCAAAGCTGGCGAGCTTGTGATCGTGAGACCCATGAACAGTTACAATATTAGTAAAGAGTTAAATAGAAAAATCAAATGATCAATAATAATTGACCAATAACCAATTGGCAATCTAAGCTAAATTTGACGTTGTGATAAAATGGAGTCAGATAAAAGCTACTTTGCAAAGAGGAAAGGTGGTAATATGAAGACAAACACGCCTTTGGACTTAGATGGGCTTACACTATGACCAGAAATGGATAAGCAGTGAATAAATAATCTATTTGAACATCTATTATCAGGCTATTAAGAGAAGCAATGCTGACTTTTGGTGCATTACCAAAATGATGGTCAGATGGTCAGGATCTCCGTAATATTGATTCCCTCTCACATTTTAAATCAAAACTTAAAACCCATCTTTTTAGAATAGCTTACTCCCTCTGACTATGTTGTATTTTAATTGTATTGTAATTTTTATTGTTTTGTTTTGTATAATGTACGGTGACCTTAAGTGTCAAGAAAGGCGCCTAGAAATAAAATGTATAATAATAATAATAATTACTACTGGAAAGCTATAGATGCTCAATGTCTATTGTATGAGACTATCATCATCAGACATGATCTGCAGCTATACAATTACAAAGTAGTAAACGGTAAACACACCACAGATGGTGACTGAACAGGCACAAATGTTCAAATCCTAACATGTTTACCTTAACCAAAAACTTTTTAATATGATTGATCACCTTTTTAAAATCTAAGCTCAAGAGACCAGTTAACACTCGTTCTGCATTTGAGTCCTCCTTCATAGACCCTTGGCAGAGTACAAGGTTGAGTTTTCAAATTTGCAATTACTTATTGTAGCCATTAGCATTAGTTTTACAAAGTGAATGCCATATTTCCAGGGAGCCAGTCCACCATAAAGTGACTAATATGTATTGTCTGTCTTATATTTTGTAGAAGATGGAGAGAACCTGTATATGCAGGTGCCAGAAACACCCACTCTTGGCAGACTGCAAGGGAAGGAGCGAGAAACACCCGAAACCCTCTCTTTCCCCTCTGTTTTGTCCACCACCACTGAAAATTAAAAACATTATAACTGCTTATGATTCTGAATTGAGCTAAGGCAAGCAGATAGTTTTGAACACTGGCTGGTTATGTTCTCACTCAATTTATTTTGGATAAATTTTTAACCCCCAAAAAGTGACAGACTGCAGCTTTAATTATAACATTTTTTAAGTATTTTGATCAATTGTAGGCTATTGTATAACTTTTTTTCTTTCTCATTTGGTGGATTTTAGACACCATATCTTAAAAAAACAACAAAATATATCATCTAAACATTACATTTTTTGCACTGTGGTGACTGAGAGCTGCTAATCACTTGACTAAAGACTCGAGTTGGAAGTTAGGACAGGACCATGTGTCATTAATTATTACTAATAATTATAATTTATTTTAGGAATATTTGAAAGTGCTGTATATGGTACAAACCAAAGGGCTGAAGAATACATCAAACAAAATACAACTATTCGCATGTGAGGAAAAGACAAACGGCGCATGCTCACTGCTCATCTCTTTCTCATTCACTGTATCATTAACAATCAGGTACGCCATAAAACACATTCAAATAGTAAACATGCCAATCGTACTCATAATTATAGGAGCGTTGATTATGGTTACTGAGAAATGTAAATTAAGTCTCTTAATGAGCAGTTCAAAGAATAATGAGAATAAACACTCACCTAACCTCACTGTAGGCAGAAGAATAAGCTTCGGTTTTCCTTCTATTATTTTCATCCGAAAGCAAAAATGGAAAACATAAAGCTGAGTTACAGAGAGCAATAAAGTTCACTCGTAGTTCACAGTTCACACTGGAGAACATGAGCAGAAGTGTGAGAAAGCCTACAACGTGGGAGGATCTCAGTGTAGCGTGCTGGAAGTTACGAGCGTCACTTGAATGAATCAAGAATAACAAGTTTATTAACCCCTAAAGCACGTTGAAACGATGACTTCCAATGAGAATCACCACCAGACAAAAGATAAGAATTAAACTTCCAATTTCAATTTCACATTGTAAGCATGTATTTACGTAGGGGTTATGCAATACATCCGTAGACGAAAGTTTAAAAAAAATACACAATGGCCAAGAGAATAGAATGACGGGATGTTCTGTAGAAAGCGGCAGAAACTTTTCTGTGGAATTCTACACAAACGTGTACTGTAAAGCGTATATTTATGCTTACTGATTTGGATTGGAAATTTTAAAAACCTGCAAAGAAACATGAATGAAACACATAGTCAAGAAAATCGAGGTTTATTTGATCACAGATGCATCCTTTCCATTAGATTTTCAAGATTTTCAAATTATAGCTCATAATTACAGAAATATTGTAAATATGTACAACAGTTTTAGATGTTTTTCCCTTCAGGAAAAAATATAAATAACACTTCTTGCATCAGTCTCTGCAATTTCATTATTAAATGGTGCTTACATTTCATATTAGTGCTCTGCAAAATCATGAGTGCACTTAAAAAAAAGGAGAGGGGGGGGGGGGGTCACAGAAAGGTGCAATTAGTTTTAGTTGTACAACGAACAAATGTACACTTATCCATTAATAGTGATGGACAAAACAACCCCTTACAAATACTTGAAAAACCTGTTCCACAAATACAATTATCTTTCCAATATCTAGCGCTTTTATTATTATTTCAAAGGTTTTAGAAACGCCAGTACATTACCAATTAAAAAACAATTTAACACTGGCTTCCGGTCACATGGTGAAAAAAGCAGCAAGAAAATAACAAAATACAATTTAGCAGTGGAAAAAGACCAACAAATAATCTTTTCACCACACATTCTGATATTAATGCTGAAATTATTTTTCTGAGAACAACAAACCTCAGAATAGATTAGGGGCAAATTCCAAAGGTTTTTTTTGTTCAAAAAGCATATTTTATCATTGAATTAATTATTGTCTAATGTCCAGCTAGTATAAAACCTATTATTTAGCTGCATCATATGTACCACTCAATGCTCTCAGTGCTCACTGGCAGCTCTCACATTTCTTATATTTCTCTCCATTATACTGCAGATATTAGAATGCTCATGCACTTAAACGTTTCCTCGAGAAGCCTAAAAGGAAATGTCGTAACAATTACTAGTATTGCTGGCCACATCAGACTCATTCGTTTCCACAATACAAAAAAAATAATGGATGTTGAAACCTGATGCTCAATTCAAAATCCAAAGCAGACAAAGGCAGATTTGTTAAATTCTATAGTAAATATAAAAAGAAAAAGGGCAAATTCATTCATTATAATAGTGTTAAAGCTAATACAATTAAGGCAAAATAATTAAAGCTGCCTAAATAAAAAAAAGGTCCAGCCAAGAGTATGAATTGATCGTCTTATTTTCAATAAGTCAATTGCGCATATATAATTAACAGGCACATTGCATAGAAATAATTTAAATATCAAATTTATACTTACAAATGGGTATCTAACCATTTTTGGTCATGTTTTTTTTTTATGCAATTTTAAACTAGATGCATCCAAACCCTAAAGACAGTTTTTTTTTAACCTCATTAAACCAAAAAGGCAATGCACAAAACTAAGAATTGCTGTTATAAATATTGATGATTTTAAAAAGCATAGTATTTTATAGGTGTCGACCAGTTAAATTTGAGCAGACCATATTAAAATTTTTTTTTTCTCAATAGATTGAAGATCAGCATCAATCATTTCGTATCAGTTTAACCCGAATGTTTTTTACCCGTTTAAAATAACCCGACCACATTCTGGTTAAAAAGAATTAATAGCAATCCCAATTAAAGAATCAAGAACAAAAGTATTTTATTTTCATAACAAATTTTGTGAAATATACTTGGCGAGTCTTAGTTTTATTAATTCTCTGCAGAAAGTCACTTCTAATCACTAATAACTTCAAAAATTTCAAAATAGCAGTGGTGAAATGCACTTTAACTTCCTCTTTTGAGCCCATTGTCTACATTTACATTGACTGTCAGACATAATTAATATACAGCGAGAATGGTGTGAAAAGGACAGAAAAACTGCTTGGACCAAACAATAAATAAGTAAATAAATAAATAAATATCTTACTGATTTAATATTTCTATTTTTTTGGATGATGTTACGGAGGTCAGTTAACAAGTTACACAATACAGTCACTACTGCATGATTGTGTAACAACACCATCAAATGCACGTTACATACACTTACTCGGGGATTGCTATGTGCTAAGAATTTATTAAAATTACTAGAAACTACTCTTTCATGAGTCAGGTACAAAAGGAGAAATAAAAACTGGCAGTTGCTCATTATTATTACTTAATGATGATTGTCTTAGATAGCAAATCAAACCAAGACTAAAGCAGACCGCCGTTTCCTCATCCTAGCTGCAAAAGCCACTTCTTCATAACAACCAGAATTAATAACAGAGAATTCCAAAGAAAAACAGCCGGAATGTTGTAGTGTTGAGGGATCCTTCGTCTGATTGTACGTGCAATCAGACGAAATGGCCCTTAAAAAAGGACAAAATTGTCTGAACGGAATTGAGGGAAGTTAATAAACTTCCTAGAGAGTCTTGAATGATTTTGCTCGCTTGTGTTTGAAATACAATTTGCATTGACTCAGTTCAAATATTTGCATGTTTCACTCTCCATTCAATGCTATACAGTTTATAACTGTCAGTCACTAGGATTTTTTTGGTTACAACATCCAATATAGATGTCTACAGAGCATATGTGTAGTGTATTTGTTCAGATAAAACGAGTTTGTTCTCTTAACGTACCGCCTTTTCTCTCTGTGGAAACATCCCGTGTGACTCTCTCAATCCACCCATGTCCGTCACATAGCCCTAGACTGTTATTGCGGATTAATAATAAGAGCATCGTCAGGCTAAGGAAATGGATTGACGGCTTGCTGCCTGGGGAAGAGAATTGGCTGAAAAACGTCTAAAGGATCACGGCTCTGATGGAAGATCTACTGTGGTGGTGGTGGACTTCTTGGGCATTGCCAGAATGCTCTCGGCCTCCTCGTACATCTACAAATACAAAAAAAGTTACGTGAATAGTGCAGATAAACACTACTGGCAGAGAAATTACACACTTCAGCTTTAATTGCAAGACATTTTGTAATGAAAATCACCAATAACATTATTATTACAGAAAGAAAATCTAGGTTCTGGAACCTTTCCATATTACTTGTGCAAACTAGATCGTTAAAAACAGTTTAGTGTCAGAAAAACAATCCTGTTGAGTCTTAAGTTTCATTATTACCGGAATGAATTGAACATCTTGGAAGAGTTCCTGAATGAAGCGTCGTGAAGCTAGTCTGAACATGCAATGACCCAGCAAGTAAGACACTTCAGAATACAGGCAGATGTCATCAAACGCATAAGGAAATTTTTCCTTGATTCTGCAAGGTAAGAAAAAAGTTCATTTGACAGAGAACAGGGAAGAAAAAGAAAATCCTATCTCTACCAAGCTGTACTTTTCAAGTGATTTTTCACTTCACATTGCCTTGTGAAAATAATCAAAAGAATCTAATCAAATAATGTTCAGCTACAGCAACCTTTGTTGGGAAAATGAGCATTTGTTAAACTGAAATCCTTGTGGATGAATCATCTCCTTACGTGAGGAGTCCAGTTTCATTCCCTTTAGTCCCCACTGAGGAGCTCAGGTTGATGACAAGCCGAAGCACCTCCTTCCTCAGAAGAACACGGCAGGCTGGAGCATCCTCTGGAATGTTTTTCACCCCTGCATGTACAGACAAAAAAATAAAATAAAAACTCAACCTGTACAAAACACTTCAGTTCAGATCGAATTTCTCACCAAGAACAAGCTCTGTGCTGAGTGTGCTTCCACCAGAGCCCTGAGAGACCGCGTCGCTGCAGCCAGACACTCCTGAGAACTTCGACTGAGGCATGACTTCCAGGTTGTGTATGGACTGGTTGCACCATTCCGTGAATGGAGCATCGGGATAGTCTAAAACGGGGTTGAGGGTGTATAAGAACATGAGGAAACCATATAAATAAAAAACGATTTACTAATATATGGTAACCAGACGACCATGACTACAATGGATAATGGGGAGGGTCTCGTAAAATCACGTGTGGTCACCCTATATCACTTATATATGGTTAGTGAGGTACTAAAATGATGTAGCCTACTTCCCATATTCATTTGGAGAAATTACAGGAACAGGAACATAACAAAACCTGCAGCTTACCTGTGCGGCTTTGTGCGGGAGTGTTTGAATTGCAGCCAAGCACACATAGCCCTGCACAGTAAAGGCAGTTCTCCTCATTGTGCTCCTGCAGGCCTGTCTCCTCTGCACCCAGCAGCTGATGCTGGTCCGCACGGCTCACTGCAATCAGCTCTGTGATGCTAAGCTGAGACCGCAGAACAGAATGCCTGGATCCTTCGCTGGAACCTGAGAAAAGAACAGCATGAAGTAGCTGAAAGAATAGTGAAGCGCAAACATAACCATTCTTGTCTTTACCATCTGAATCTCCCAAGAAGAACTTTGCTGAACGGTCCTCTGATGGTGGACTCGTCCTCTTCTGGAAGTATGGTACGTCTTTAATCTAGGTAGCAACCGAAAACAAGGAAAGCAAGTTTCAGATACCGAGTTTAAATGGCATATCTGTATAGTAACATCCTTCTCGGATGATCCTGTCCCAAGTGGACACCTTTTGCACGTGGTCTAAGGATGCACATAAAAACCAGTGGTTAAATTGGCTTTTATAGGGAGGGGGAGCCCTTATTTCTGGTGAATGGTCATCATTCAAAATCGCACCGTAAAATTACTTAATGTGTTTTTTACACCAAAGCAGCTCTTTTTCCAGTATTAATGTGTAAGATAGGGTTGAGTACTAATTTAAACAGAGAGAAACACTTTACAAATCAGGCAACGGATTTCACCCTCGGAAAATGTATGAAATTGAACATGTTTGAAAATATTGCTTGGCAAATATCTTTTAAAACAAGAAAATTATGTCGATTTAAAAGAATCAGGGCCATTTTCTTTGGCAGTTTATTGTTTGATTTAATCACACCGACAGGGGTTTTTCAAATGAAAAGAAAATTTTGGTTTTTCTGATCTCGACATGTCCATTTTAAGGTGTTTTGAAGGCAAAAAAAAAAAAAGGACAACAGTAGCTTTAAAAGCATGTCAGTGCTTTTGTCAGTAGCAAAAAGTAGGCCTATTTGGTCAGATAACAGATTCTTTAACATGAGAATCAGTTTAAATGTCGCAATGAGTGATCCACACTATAAAATGGAAAAGCTGAATGTTTATGCATATTGTTGACAATACACGATCACATATTCGAAACGGGAATGTCTTTAAATAGGAAATGACTCAAGGATTATTTTGTAGATGTTACATCTCAAACAAACGCCAATGCAATCATTCTGTGCCCAGAGGCATATGAGCAATTACTATGAGCATCAAAGATCAGTTTCAGCTACTTTTTCTTTCCTAAATTAATCAATATTTGTGGACTAGCTAATCTGTTCATTTAATCAATGGTTCAATTGCTCACACATTAAGTTGCCCACTTGTTGCCCCCTTTAGGCTTAATGATGCAAGTTGCGCAAACACGAACAAGCGGAGTGATAAAAACAGTGAAAAGTCGAACACATTCGCGGTAACATTATACGATATATTACAATAATAATGGAAATATATTTAATACGGTGCTTTTGTTGTTAAATTGAGTCTTCAAAAGACAAACAGCTGTTTAGAATTGCTACTTGCATTCTCTCCTACTGTATGCCCATTAACTGAAGCGTGAAGCGTCGCGTTGGGATTCGCGCTTCTGTGAACATAAATCCCACTTGCTTTGATTGGACTCAAACATTTTGACATTGACGAGCGGATGAGAGCTGAAGCATTGCAGCACCAAATTCGAGTTTATTCGACTTTCATATACTCAACAAAATGTATATATTTGATGCTGAGCTCCAGCAGGGTGTGTTGTGGGCCCGAGGAGGCGGAGCTGCACTCCGGTGCGCTCCGCCCCCACATAACCTTGAACTTTCAGACTTCACTTTGAGACAATTCGACCAAGACATTTTTAATAGGCATGTGTAAACAGCAATTTGCCCCAATTGAAAAAAAATGGGATCAGATTACCAGAGATTGATTTTAGTACAAGGTGTAAACACAATCATAGAGTACTAAGTGACCTGGAACATGCTGTTGATGTCCATTGGCAAAGCAAGGCCAATGTAGTCATCGGAGTTGCCATATGTGGCACTGGACACCATGGAACGCACTGAGGAGGAGCGCTGCAGGGAGGTCTGACTGATAGGGCTCAGAAGATCCTCTTTATCCAAGGATGCAAAACTCAGAGCCTTGAGAAACCTGTACTCATACAGAAGGGAAGAAATTAGAGAGAGGAGTTTGAAAGAAGCACAACAGTGGCAGAGAGAATGGTAAGAAAGGAGGTTTGGAACTACTTGTACTGATTCTTGCTAGCAGATGATTGGTAGGTTTGTCAATGAGGAAACAGGTTGGTGAAGTGTATTCATATTTCAGAAAGGCAGCAGCTGTTTGTCATTCGCTGCATCATGCAAGTACTGTAGGACAAAAACTTCTACATGCTTCTTGGAACAAATGCAGGAATGCGGCTAGTGTGGGAATCGGTCTGACGATTAGTCGGTTCACATCAGCAAACTACTTGAGGGAATTCTGCTACAGGTCATAGGTTAGAAAGTATTTTTAGAACTACAATCAATGGGGAATGAAGAGAGTTTAATTTGTCCTACTGTGGGAAGGTCATTTCAAGGACTGAGGAGTCATGGTTGAAGAGAATCGGGTTAAGGTATGGGTTGTGGGAGGGCTAATCTGAAATGGAAAAAAAGGGGGCAAAGTACGATGAAAAAGAAGTCAAAAAGGCTAGGTTTTTTGTATTGTAAAGCCTTGTTTATACTTTTGCCTTGCACAGCACCACAACCGTCCAATGACTGCATGCGCACTTCAGAAGGGTTTATAGTCAACACGGTCATTGAAACGACAGGGAGCATATTGGAGAAAAAATCCTCCAGAAGTAGTAGTAGTTTGGCTGAAAAACGTCAGATCATATTGTCAAACTTCAATCTAGGTTGTCAAACATTTCTTGGAAAGATTTAAAGATTGTTTTAGAAGGAATGTTAAAACCTATATTGAGGATTTTTAATAAAAACATATGCGCGTCATATTTTTTATTTGAAAGCTATAAAATATATAAGCTTCCTTTAAGTTACTAATTTACATAAGTTTGCTATCTCTTGCAATACCATTTTTAATGTTTTAATGGGACTAATTAATAAAAACACATAAAAAGGTTTTAGTTAATATTGGAATCAGCATCCAATAGTATAAATATGTCTGTGGTATATTTACACTATCACTTAAAATGTACAAAATTTAAGGTAGTGTAGGGAATTCATGTAAATCCATATACAATATTCTTTAAAATGCTTACATATTGCCATATATCCTCTTATTAATGTATAAATAGCATATGATGTTATAAGTTCTTTCCACATTTTTCCAGCAAATGTTGCCTTGAAATTATTCATTGCTGCATACGTGCTGCGTGGACTGTTCGCTCAAGTTACACAACATGCACAACGTGACGCAAAATGGGTTCTAGCCAGGTCAAAACCAACTTTGGTCAATTCCACGAGGACATAATTTGTGTCGTGCGAAGAGTATAAACCAGGCTTAAAAGTGGACGCTCAAACAGAAAAAGAGGAACGTTAGCGCTGGGGATGGTCCACGCACCGTGGAAGCAGTGATCTGCGATGGGGCTTGCTCGAACCTTGGCCCAGACATCTGAAGCGCTTTTTAGTAAACCTGAGAGGGACCATCAGAAACAGATCACATTATTTCCAGAGGGGAGCAGTGATTTTAAATGGGCTTTTGGGGGTGCGGTTTCCCTATTACATGGATGGTAGCAAAGCAAAATTAATGGGGGGTTCTAGTGCTCATTTTTTGTCTGATTAACACAGATATTTCTAGAATTGATAACATCAGGCTGATATCCTTCACAGCCGCATCACAAAAAGGAACAATGTAAAAGAAGTCTAAAAAAATGACATCCGCATTCCTAATGATTTCTCGGAGAAATTTCCGAGTCATCACACCTAGAAACTTTGGAGCAGGACGATAACGTCTGTGGATGAATTCTGTGAATGTTGTGTGACAAAAGTCTAATATTGTAAGCGAAAGAAACAGAAAAGGGGAAACGTTTCGCAACATCTCAGGATCCATCTGCTTTACCTGCGTGGTGTGAGTCTGGAGTCCAGGCTGCCAGTTTTCATGGTGATGGCGTCAGTGAAGAGCACGTCTTTGGCAGGCGAGGAGAGCGCCTCGCTATGAGAAAGGGAAGGATGGATGCGCTGTTGCTGCAATCGTTTGAGGGTAGCGTAGCCTAGTGCATCCCGAGGGCTGGCGTACATGAAGCTACAGTCAGTCAGGCTTGAGATGGTCGTGACAGAGGGCGATTTAAGAGACTGAGCCCTGCGGGGTAAAGTGTGAGAAGAACCTGGGGGCATCAGCAGTACTGAGTTTGATTTGGATAGGGACAGGTGGTTTGACTGGGGCGTGAGAGAGTTAAGTGTTTTGATAGTTTGAGTGCTAATGACCGTATTGAGGCTAACGCAGTCCGTGTCAATGGTGGAAGAGTCCACGCCACCCACAGTCTCTCTGGATGGGCTGGAACTCATAGAGCTGATGCCGCTGGTGGTCGTGTCCGTGTTGAAACTCTGGCTACGGCTTTTAAACTGAGCCCCGCCCCCAGAGGTTGAGCCATCACCGGCCAGCCTTTCCCGACTGGTCTGCTCTCTGTGGGCATCTCCAACCCCTGAGCTCTGTTCTGCAGTTCTGTTCTGACGTACCTCCGGCTCCCCAATACTAGATGTACTGCCCTGAGTGTCCGAAGTTTTGCTGCCCACAAAAGAGGTCTCCAAACTAATGCTTGGGCTTTTCGGCAGACGTCCGTCGGTAAATACAGGGCTGAAAACATCTCCCTGACCTGGAGAGAATATAGAGGGCTCCGTGACCGTGCGTATCCTCCTGAGGCCTCCTAGGGTGGTCTCGCCATGGAGTTTACTGCTGCCGCCAGTGCCTTTGGGGTCACTGGTACTGCGGACTTTCTTTCCGGAGAGGGAAATGAGGAAGCGGTTGCGGACAAGCCGGCTGGAGGCCAATATGGTGAAGGGGCTGCGGTCTTTTAGGAGTTTGGGCCTGAAGTACAGTGGCTGGTCCTCTGAAAGCTCGGAACTTTCCAACTTGTCATCATCCAGGATGTACATGCCTGAAAAGTAAGTCATTTGGGCAATTTTACTTTTAGATGTTTTTAAAAGGAACCACTGAATTTATCTTCACAGTGTGTGGTTTGTTTCTTCCATTTACCAGTTTCTATGCGAGTCAGAATTACTGACTGAGCTTAGTCATCTAAACCCAGTCTTGAGGGTAGATAATGATCTGTGGCTTTCTATGCCTTACTAAGATGTATTTGGAGCACCTCTGTGTATAAATGCAGGCCCAACCATTCCATTAAGTAGAAAAAGATAGCTTTTATAGCTCAATCTAGCATATAAAGATAAGAAAGGGCAATTGAGAAAAGTACTAATTTGTTGACGCCTACAAGTCTGGGAATGCATTTACAGATATTTCGGTAACACTTTACAATAAGGTTCCTTAGTTAACATTAGTTAACATGTACAATATGTGAACAATACTTCTTCAGCATTTATTAATCTTAGTTAATATTTATTCCAACATATACTAATGCGTTATTAAAATCAAAGGTTGTATTAGTTAACATTAGTTCATGGACTGTGAACTAACATGAACACACAATGAGCAGCTGGATTTATATTAACTAACATTAACAAAGATTAATAAACACTGTAACTAATGCATTGCTCATTGTTAGTTCATGTTAGTTAATGCATTTACTAATGTTAACTAATGAACCTTATTGTAAAGTGTTACTGATATTTCTAATGATTTGAAGTAAATTACTCCAAGATTTAAAAAATGTATGTATAAAAAATAAATGAAAATAAAAATCACATCACAAGCAGTCAAATCTGTACCAGGTTTCTCAATCAAATTCAGAGAAAAGCAGACAAAGTCAGGGTCAAAAATAAATAATGATTGTGAAAGAAATGACACAATTTTCCCTTAAGCCAAGAACAGGAAGGAAGAAGAAATAGTGGTGCTATGTAAGCACTATGTGTGTTATGTGCCATACTGTTTTGCTACATTAAACTAACTTAATCTATTAATATAGTTGAAATAAAGAGTGAATAAAAATAAAAAAAATTAAATCATATCTAAAGACACATGTCTAAAAAAATCTAAAAATTAAATCATGTCTAAAGAGACATGTCTAAAAAAATCTAAAAATGAAATCATATCTAAAGAGACACGTATAAAAAAATCTAAAAATGAAATCATATCTAAAGAGACACGTATAAAAAAATCTAAAAATGAAATCATATCTAAAGAGACATGTCTAAAAAAATCTAAAAATGAAATCATATCTAAAGAGACACGTCTAAAAAAAATCTAAAAATGAAATCATGTCTAAAGAGACATGTCTAAAAAAATCTAAAAATGAAATCATGTCTAAAGACACCTTTAGACATAAACAACATAATGCAGGTGGATTCTAAGCTAACACTAATGATAAATATGAGATAAACATGCTTGAAATAAGCAGAAATGGAGCGCTTCTGAAATGCACTAAAGAGTATTAGTCATGGATGAGTGGATGGGAGCGGCACTCACTAGGCTGAGTGGAGTCACTCTCGCTGTTGTGTCTAGAACTGGTGGACTCAGAGTTCAGGCTAAGGGTGCTGGGCGCTGAAGACAGGTGGATGAGGGGTTGCTGTTGTTGCTGCTGCTGCTGCTGTAAGTTCTGGTGCTGCTCAACATCATCCGGCACCACAGGCCAAAGTTGTCTGCGATTGTGCCTGACTGCATCCCAACCCTGCAGTTTGAGCAGCTCACAGCCCTGCTTAGTTTTAGAAATGAGTCCCAGAACATAAAGACACGTCCTGAGAGAAAAAGAAGAGGCAAAGATTGCGAGAGTAAGGCAAAAAAGAAACAAAAAGTGTGTAAGAGCATTAGAATGCAAGATTGCCAAATCGTAGATGAGGAATAAAGACAATTCAATGAGTCATCCCCTCCCCCACTGTAAGAATAAGCTCATGTGATGGTTTTACCCCAGATGAGTAAGCAGTGCAATACCTTCACTCTATTGCATAATCACAAGCGAGCAACAAGTGACTGTTGCAATGCCAGTATCTTTTGTATATTTCACTTCTGATAACAGGAACCACACATACAATGAAAAATGCACAATTTCCACTCCGATATAATACTTTTTAATATTGGCTGTTTAAATTAACACCATGTAAATTTGGCTCTCGGGGTCCCTCTACACTACAGTTGTGAAATGTGAAATGTCTTCATCCCAGGTACAGTGGCATCTATTTCAGCATGTCATACGAATATATTTTAATGGGTTTCTTTTTTTTTTTCAAACGCCAAAAGATTTTGTGGCTCCCGTTTACAAGCCAGCGCCATTATAGTAGCCAATGTGCATGTGCATTCAAGTTAAGGCAATTAAACAACCAAGAGAAATATGTCTACCTCAAATGTAACTGGATCTGTACATCCGCATCGGGGGCAAAACATAATTTCGTTCACGGTTGAGAAAGATGCATGTAGGCTACACAGGAAAATTAACCGTGAAGAAACTGAATTTAACATGAAACAGCAATCATAATGATGACGACAAAATATACACAAATACACTTAAATTGCTGTAAAAGAGTTTATATGAATGAATGGCTTGCTTTAAAGGATATTTCCGGTATTTAACACCTCGAGTCTATTTTGTAGTTTGTTTTGAATTAAATAGAGTGGTGGACTTTTTTTGACAAAATTTTTTGACAAATTTTGACAATGGGTCCTGTCTCGACTTTTTGATTATTTTAGAATTGCCTGTGACAGCTTTAGACTGGGTGCCTATGGGCATGCACAAACATGTCCATAAAACAACCCTTAACGTTCATTTTCAAAACTGTGCAACTCACCGAGTGGTTGGTGGTATTCGTTGATGATTAAAAACAAATATATCGGCGCAATGTATGCTTTCAATCCGTGTTGTTTGCTATAATGGAACTATTTTTTCAGATACCTCACAATTATCCACAAGTTTCCAAGGGGCGCTCCTGTAAAAAATAAAGTGGGTGAAACTTCCGGTGAGGCGGCGGAAGTAGCATTCCAATGGTATTTTGTGTGTTAGTTAGCGAAGAGGCTAGCTGTTTTTCGGAGAATTATTTTACTATTTAAAGACGGTAATCTTTATGAGAGATGTCGTTACGGAGCTCAGGGACAACATGTGCTGTTCGCGGTTGTACGTATAACCGGACTAAACTAGTTCAGTGGCTTAAACGTGATTGTTTTGAACATAAGCTGAAAACGAAATCACAGTGATCCTACCAACGACTGAAGTTTCCATCAACCCTACCAAAAGACGACGAATCTTTCTGTGTACATTTGTTTAAAATCTTAATATTCTATAAACTCTATCAGCATGTGTTTGGCTGTTCACTACTGATGTTACACCTAAACTCAGGATCAAAGCCTGAGGTGACAGAATACCAAATGTGCCAGTTAATGTATTCAAGTAGCACATTCATTTATAATTTTGAATAAACTCCAAAGCACAATGACTAGTGTGTATTTTTTTTTTAATTGTTTGTCAGCTCGCACAACTGTCTGCCACCATGCCTTAATCAGTATTGATTATTAATAATGTTATTATAATACTCCCAATCAACTACTGCGGAGGGTAAAGGCACTGTTATTTCACCCTTTTTAATTTCGTTGAGGTTGTGTTCCCACATCGTTAGCTAGTTTGGATCGCTATAACTTGAATGACTGTCAACTGTTGAATGAACGAGTGTCAAGCATGTCAAGTAGCGCTTTGTTTACTTCAAACCGGAAGTCGCGCCCACTTTTGACGCAAGGCCTCACGGGGCGTAGGAAACTTGTGGATACCTCAAATTATCCTTTAACTGCTGCAAGGTCTTCGTCAATAACACGTGCTTGCACCTTCTGCTGGTGAGGTCGACATATCCAGCCAGACATATCCAGTGATCAAGAATACATACCCCCTAATAGACAGAACCTCACAGTCATGGGCAAGAGCGACGATATCTGGAATCACATTCTCTTCCTGTAAGAGGTTCAGTCCCCAGTTAGACGTGCCAATGTTTCCCTAGAAGTAAACAGAGTGAGTTTAGACTTTAAATTATATTACTAAAGCAACTGACAATTATTACCACATTTTATTGCATAATTGTTTAAACAATAATTGTGGCATTATTACCAAGCTCCAAGCTCTTGTAGTGACAGTAGAGAAAACAAGCTTCAACATGTCTTATTCTCACAAGAAAAATATCAAAACCTCAAACACACGCTTTATGGGGACTTTCCATAGACGTAATGATTTTTTTTGTACATTATACATTTATTTTTTACATTTGGTTCACACAACATAAGGTTTCCCAGGACCACACATACACACACAGCTGCTCACCAGGGCCCAAAGAGCAGCTTTAAGCTGTTTGATGCCCTCCCATTTGTCCAGCGCTGGGCAGCGGACTGTGTAGCTCAGATCAGAAACTACATTCTATAAGAGAGAGCAAAGGCATTTTATAAAGTCATCAGTCACCATCGGGCCTCTAATAAATCATATATATATAAAAAAAAAAATCCCACATACCTGAGCTTCCAGCAAATGACAGCCTGTCTTATCATGTACAAGTTGCCCATACAAATGCACAGGAAGAAAAACATTTGGTCTTTGTAACCTGTAAGAAAAAGAAGTTATGGATGACATCATTTTAAATATTGATATGAACTACTGATAAATAAGAAAAAGGGTAAAATTCCCAGGAAAACCTTTGGTTGCTCCGTCGCACATAGTTATCCCCATCCACTGGCTTACGGTAAGTAGTGAGTGCTTCATTTAGCTGTTCCTCTATGAGGTCCACATACTTGAGGTTGTATTCCTTCAGGGGAACATAAGTAATTTGACAGAATGGTTTAAGTAAGCTTGAGTTTGAATATTTTATCCTAATCCAAGTTCACTATAAATCTACGGACAAATAATAAATAGCATGTGTAGAATATAATTTTTTGGTGCATCTAACAATCCAACACACCTTTAATAGTGCAAAACCATGGTAAAGATACAGTACCTTCTGCCATTTTTCCAGCTGTTTAGTGACATATCCCCTCTCATTTAGATAGGAGAACCCTTTTGGGATGGACAAGAACCTGCAAATGGATGCCACATCATCAGATAAAAAGAAGCAGTTCGTTTCTTATGCAAAATAGACCCTTTTCAAAGATGCTATATGTGAGACACTGATTACTGAAGAAGATACTGATGATTTCTGAAGGTTTTTTCTAAGATCTGAGAGCCCATCATTTTACATACTTTTCTGAAAAAATGTATTAATTTAGGTATTAGGGGTGTAACGGTACACAAAAATCACGGTTCGGTACGTACCTCGGTTTTAAAGTCACGGTTCGGTACGTTTTCGATACAGCAAAAAGAAAGAAATGCCAGAGAAATTTCCTATTTGTTTAAAGAAAAAATATTTTTAAATAAGTGTGAGTTTTCCTAGATCTTGAAACTTTCAGGTTTATAAATAGGGGTCATCTTTGAAGGATGAACAAATAATGTTTTGGTCATCACATTAAAAATAACATTTAAATATATATTTATTTATATAATATTTGAATTTTGAAGTGCTGGAAAAAGATGTGTGAAGTGCTTGAAAGCATTTCACCAGTCCAGCCAAACTGGTTACAGTTAGTGTTACTATATTAAATCCATGGTGAATGTTGCTGGTCTGTGGACGTAAAGTACTAGTTCATTCACAGTACAATGTTTCTCCTGGTTTCCATGACAGCGCTGTTTGATCTAATAGAGATCTACGGTTAATAACGGAGAAATGTGAATGCATCTCACTAGATCTCGCAGCGATGTTATTACCTCAGTGGCGAATTCAAATGTTTTCTTTACCGGATCTCTTAGCGCGGTGTGGTAACAGTGTTGCTTGATCGAGATCGGCTCGCGCTGCACAGATGTTGCTGGTCCGAACTGATAAACGATCCGTGAAGCACATAACGAGGAGCGCAGTTTCGTTCTGCTTTCATTACCCTTGCCATTTGGATGTTGCGCAACGTTGTGTTGGCCGCGTCAGCACGCATTTTGCCGGCAAGAAAAATGGTCCAAGCAATCGTTCGGTTTGTATGCGTACCGAACCGGAAGCCTCGAACCGAAACGGTTCAATACGAATACATGTACCGTTACACCCCTATTAGGTATACATCTTTTGTGTGGAACAAATATGTAACGCACCTTTAAAGTCAGACCTCTGTGTTATATAGTGTAGTTATACAGAGAATATTTGAGCTTTACCGTAGCAGCAACAGCACACCCTTGTCTCCCAGGTGAGTTAGTGCTGGCTTCATCTGAATCAGAGCGTGTAAGTTTGCCTAAGACAACACAATCATAAGAAAACAGCAGTCATGAAAATAGGCATGTATTCACAAGCCATGATATAACAATCCATCACTGTTATTCTGGTACAGAACTTGTTGTATATGCTATCTGTTTACAGATCTTACTGACAGTTTTCTGCAGTAAAGCTACACTGGCACAGAACAATCAAACCACACAAATGTCTCCAACATCAATCTATATTTTATCATTCTACCCAGATCAGCCTCAGCTAACACAACTTTCTGCCAAATTAGTTTCACAACATCCTCCCTTATGCCCTTATAGGTTAACTGACATCACCTTGTCCTCACAGGCCTCATCCAGTATGTCCAAAGCCTCCACCGAGATGGCCTTGTTGCGGTCATGTAGCTGAGTCACCAGCAGTTCAATACCCCAGTTGCTGAAGAACTCTACGTTAGCTCGGAGTAACACCCGCAGATGCTTGGTGGCGTACAGCCTGCAGTTCTGTGGCAAAACGTTGAAGAATTATATTACTGATCCAGCTTTGCTAAGCACAGCTGAGTTGAAATGAACGGCACTAAGACAAACACGCTCAAAAGGTCAAAGGGTAGTAGTTCTGTTTCTTACGTCAGTGGCAGCAGTGAGGATCTTTGAGAGGATGACTCGTGCCAAACCATCCCGACTGTAGTCCAGTGTGGAAATGATCAGCTTGAGAAGATGGTCCTGGTTCTTTAGGGAGCACAAGTTCAGCAGGCTGTCAAAACGACGATTTCAAAAAGGGTTAATATTGGCCGATTCCCTATATTGTGTATCCCTAGTTTGCTGTAAATCGTTTCTGATAAGTCCTAGACTAACCATTGGAAGACACTGCACTTCTCAAGCATCTTAACTCCCTGCGGGTGGGCTGAGAGCGTGCCGAGGAAGAGGAAGTAGTGCTGGCTGATGGTGGTGAGGAGGCCGTTGCTCTGCAGACTACGATCTGGTTTCAGCCCAGAGGATGAGGACAGCCACTGCACAATGTCCTTCACCAGGTCCTCAAGATACCCCTGCCCATCCTGAGAAGACACCAATGTGGAAAATGAATGTTAAGTTAGAGGAATAGCTCAATTAAATTCTGTCATCTATCATCATGTCATTCTTTCTTCTGTGAAACACAATAGGAGAAATAGGAAGGAAGTAAATAATGGGTGATAATAGGCTCAATTCTTTGATAACTTAATTTTCTCTCACTTCATCTGACTCCAGCAGGAACTCAATGAACTGACAGCCCACCGCTGTTAATTGCCTGGCCTTGCTGTGGTCCAGCTCCAGGCTAGCATACAGCTTGCTGCTAGGCTTGTAGAAGAACAGCAGCCTTCGCACAAACCTGAGTAAGAAAATGTAGGATTTACAGCAATAAATGGTGGACGAAAAAGTCCTAAGAAAATTTCAAAGAATAGTCAACTAAACTCTGCTTACTTGTGCATCTGTTCATCTTTGTTGTTTCGAAGGTTGACATTTGGCCACTGCATCGTGATTAGAAACAAATTATAAGAGTTACCACACTGCATTTCATTAAAGGAGAACTCCGGTCAATTTTAACATTGAACTCATTTTTTTGTACATTTGGAGACAAAATGTCAAAAACGACAAAAATCGGTGTTGCCTACACCGTGTTATGCTCTTTTTAAAATTCGCACCCTGTTGACTTCAATGGGGCATTGAAGGGACTAACATCCTTAATTTGTCATTACATGTGCACATCCATGTGAGTGGTGTTATTAAGAGAGACCACGGTCAATCTGACTGCAGTAGATGTGAAAGATATTAATAAAAATGAATAATTCAGCCAGCTCACATACCTGTATTTATTTCCTGTTTTAGTAGTCGTTTTATAGTCCACAGTGGTCGATTGTCGAGTTCGCACGTGTGATTATTGGTAACTAAGCAACAGTGGAGACTGTCAGCCAACGACAGTGCTGTGTGTGGTTTTCTGAGAATATCACCTCAAATGGATAGTTCGTCCGAATCAGATGTTGAACACCAATGATCGCACGCGCGAACTCGACAATCGACTACTGTCGACTTCGACCGAAAACAGGAAGTAAATACAGGTATGCGAGCCTGCTGGTAAGTAATGACTGCTGAAAATTCAACTTTGCCATCACATGAATAAATTACAATTTTAAACAGTTATTTGAAAATGTAATAATGTATTTTTATCAAATAAATGCAGCCCAGCCTTCTTTAAAAAAAAAAAATCCCCGCAAAAAATCTTATCAACCCCAAACTTGTACATTTAAAATCACAAATTGTGGTTATGATCTAATTTGAAAAAAACGAAGAGGATGATACCTTTGATATGCCCCAACAATTTAATCAACAAGAGGAAGAAAAAGGCTCTCGTCAAGCCATTTGTCTGATTAAAAAAAAATAAAAAAATATTTGAATCCAAAATCTCATACCTTGAGTATGGTACTGATCAGGACCCAGTTCCAGTCCAAATTCTGTTTATGATTGAGAATCTGACTGTCTCTGAGGTTCATCATCAGGGCCTCCTCAGTGTCCTAAAGAACACAACAAAAATGTAGATCACATCCAAGCTAAAATATCCAAGAATTGCTTTCTTCCAGTCAGCAGCACATACCTTAATGACAAAAATGTCTCTCTGGGGCCTGAGGTGCTGGTCCCGACTGCAATGAGCAGCCAGCGATTTGCGAATAATTTGGTCCAAGTAAAGACTATTGGGTTTGGGGCCTCGTTTCTTCTTCTCATGAAATCGCTTCAAGTAATTGATTGCAGCACTAGCCCGCCTAAGAAACAATCAAAACTGACTCCTTCAAACCATCGAAATAATAATCACATAACTCTTACAATGTGCTATTTGTGCTGTCGGCTATGTAGGACAAGACAGCTAACTCACAGTCTTTTCTCCTGAGGAATGTCAAAAGAAGCAGCCATGTTCATAAGTGTAGGCAGGCAGTGCAGATGGTGACTATGAGAGTGAGGAAGAATAGTGTTTGCCTGAAAATAAAATGAAGATCACTCAAGGTCATTTGAGGTATAGTACAAGGTTATGCTAGATTTGCTGTTACTTTCATTCATTTCAGTATAATACCATATGGAGGAGCTCTCCTAAGAGGATGGTTGCACGCACTGAAATGCTATCATCACTGCTAGTGATCACTTCAACCAGGCCCTGGAAGAAAGAAACTATCACTTCAGAAGTCTTGAAATATAGTGCCACATAAACTACTTTCAGGGTTTTTCGTTTAGTTCTTTTTTGGAGCTCGACAGTCTCTGGTCACTATATGCTTGTATTGCATAGAAAAAAGCAGCATTAACATTATTCAAAATATCTCATTTTGCGTTACATGTCAGACATTAGAGTAATTACATAATGATCGCTAAAATGGACTACTGCTTTAAAAGCCTCTTTTCTTCAAGAATGTCCACAAAGATATATTACCTCTAAAAGTCCACAGTGGATGAAAGCAGAAAGTAACAAGGCGAGATAGTTATCCATCAAATCAGGTCTGGGTGGACACAAAGAGCACAAACACGTGTCAATACAAAGCTATGAGGTTTAATTAGTTAGCTCAGTTTTAGGGTCAGTTAAGCCCAGCAAATGCTCTTACCTGGAGCGCGCCCTATGCGGAAGTATTATTTTTGCTTCTGATGCTACAAAGCCATCTGACAGTCTCCAGCTGTCCTGAAACCTACTGGGGTCTGAAGAGGGGACACAGGGGATTGTTTCTGTCAATGTGAGTTGACTTCAGATGTGGTTGATGTCTGGAAGTGAATGTGTTAATCAGTGCAAGCAGACAGCGGTAGCACTCACTCACCCACACTGAGAAGAGCTTCTAGAAAATCTTGTGTCACCACGGGAACAGGGAGTCTGAATATATCATACATCACTTCCAGCAGACCCCGCTGAGAAGAGAGTGATAGACTGTGATGAGTATGAGTCATAATGAGTCTTAAGTAAATGTGGACATCTCATTGTACAACATATACATTTTGTTGTTGTTGTTATAATAAATACCAGTAATTTAATTACTATAAGTATATTATAATATAGGACTTCAAAATATTTAATTGTGATAAAATCTTAAGAAATAATCTTATTATTTTTTATGCATTAAATTCTCAGAACACTAAATAAGCCTTTGTGTAACTATCAAGTTTCAGCAAAATGTGTGGATCTCACTCATTGAAAATTACTACCAAAAGTGTTCTTTACTTGCTCTAATATATTTAAAAAAAACACATTATGCATCATATTTAGTGTTGTAGCTTTTGAAATAAAAGTAAATGGCTATTTGTTTTGCATGCTATGTGTAAAGCAAGCTTTATAATTATGTCCTTTGTCATACCCTCACTTCCATATTTGGTATACACAGCAGACCAATGAGAGACTGGATTCCAGAGTTGCCTGACTTGCAGAGATTAATGATGCCTGGAGGTGCAGTGGGACAAAACAACAAGTTCAGTCTAAGCAGCAATAAACAAACTCCTACTGCAATGAGGTGCACTCATGAGGAAAATCCTTTTAAAAGATGTATGATGTATTACAATATGCATGCACTCATAACCCAGCTTCTTTGGTCATCTTTTTTGACCCATCATTATAAGATATGCATTGTTACACAAATAACCTTAATAAAGTATTGATTGAAAACTGGGCCCATGCCAGAATTCAATTAGTTTAGTTCTTAATTAAACTAACGACAGCATGGACAATGTGAAAAATGGGGCCCTGGCAATAACTAATTGCAATATGTTTACCTGACCAAGAGCGAAGTGAAGCAACAATTGACATCTTACTGGCCAGAAACCTAGCCTCCCTGTCTTCTCTGTAGAGAGAAACACCACACATGTATACATGCAGCCAATTAAAGTTGCATGCTCGTCTCTTCGATGGGAAATTCTACTATGAAAGACCTTAAAAACAACACACTCACTTTAGTTGACTCTCTGCCGTATCTGGATTGTGTCTGTAGTGAAAGTCAGTGTAAGGTGCCAGGATTTGCTGAAAAAAGTAAATAAAGCTTTACTGAACACCTTTTAAATGGTTTTACAAAATGTAGAACATACATAATCATTTAAACCGTAAAGATGTAAATTAACTAGACTAATTGATATAATTATAAGTAATAAATGAAAAGTAATTAAAACAATTATATTAAAAAAATACCTCTAGCTCCACATCAGAGCGAACGTATTGCCGTGTCTGTGGGTGATTGAGCAGGTGCAGGATGGTGGTGATCAGAGCCTCATTGATTCGACTGAGCTGACAGTCGATTACATTCTTCAGGATGGTGCTGAGACCACCCCTCTTGGCCACAATCTCGGGGTTCTCCAGTGCTGCACGCACAAACATGGACATGCGCGAGGTCAACATGAGCCTTCACAGATTAACACAGAGAGTTCTCTAATCAGTGTGTGAACCCACCAAGTTCACAGATAATGGCAATGCAGGCCCGAACCATACGGTCCCGCTCCTGCGGTCCATCATTGCCCACGGCAATGAGAGAGTTTGCAACTGAGCTTGGGAAGAGCAGGGCGTTCACAGTGATCATCTGGAAAATCGTTGTAAAACACAGATATACTTCCATCAATGACAAACACACACTGAAATGGTTAAAAATGGGCCAAATCATTTTTCTTTGAGTGGGACATAATGCGACTATTCTGATTCAGAAGGTTTTGATTCAAACAGGTTCAATTCAGATTCAGATTGCAAATCAAATATCAATTTAGGGTAACACTTTACTTGAAGGGGTGTGGATAAGACTAACATGACACCTTCATAATCATGACATACGTTTTATGCATGTTTGTGACAACTGTCATTAAGTGTCATTCGCTCGGTTATGACATTTTTAATGCAAATATGACATTGTTTGACAAACCAATACATCATAACCTGTCAGTGTCTTTGTCATGACAACTTGACATAACTAAGACAACACAACCTGTCATTACCATGACATAGCAGATTAATTATCAAACTTAAGAAACCACCTAGCTTTATTGGTTAAAATTACATTAAACTGTCAGGTGGTTGGTTTTGACATTGGCTGCCATGAAGCCATTATAACATTTAATGACAAATTCAATTAGTACCACTGTACAGTTGGTATGACAGTTTAACTTTTAATGTCAAGTTGTCATGACAAAGACACTGACAGGTTATGATGTTATGGTTTATATCAAGGTGTCATAACAAAGACATCTTAAACAATGTCATATTTGCATTTAAAATGTAATTATTGAGCGAAAGACACTTAATGACAGTTGTCATAAACATGCATAAATCCTACTTCATATTCAAGACATATGTCATGTCATGGTTATAAAGCTGTCATGTCAGTCTTATGTACACCCCTTCAAGTAAAGTGTTACCCAATTCAGCATAAAAAACAAAAGAAAGGGGGGCGGCTTTCCTTTTTCTAATTATGGAATGAAACCAACTAAACATCAGGAAGTGTTCAGATCTCACCTTTCTCACCAATCTGAGAGCTTGTGTGCGTTCCACCTCGTTACTCTGCTGGATGTCAATGCACCTGCAGGTTAAAAGGTCAACATTACTCTAACTAGTCAACAGTGAAATGCACCTCAAACCCTAATAACATCCTTGTCCTACTCAAGATATGACATGCTGGATGTTCAGGACAGAGCGAGAGCTGAACCTAAAGTAATACACCTACAGCGGGATACAGAGGAAACAGCACACAATGCTTCAAAATCACCTTAACTGGATGTGACTAGCTCTTCACATGAAGACTCCTCCTCTCTCTCTCTCTCTCTCTCTCACACACACACACACAGAATGAGAAACTAACAAGAGATGATGCACAACTCACCATACATTAGCATCAAGTCTTGTTTTTTTTTGTTCCCACAAATCCCTAGCTCAGACTTGACTGGCAAACTAAACCGCTCAAATGACTGGCCTGCACACAGTGCTATGAAAACACGTCATACAGACCTGGCAATCAAGTAATCCACCTGGAGACGCAGTACTTTCTGAAGGATATTACTGTCTCTGATGAGGTAGCGGAGAGAACGCAAGCCAGCTGCCCGCACTTCCTTAGCCTCATTGAGCAGAGCCAACCTGAGGCTGTCAAAGAAACAGGAGAGACGCATTGAGCCTGCAGTAAAGCCTTTCAGAGTAAAACATATCATTCACTGAGAAATCATGGATTATATATTTAATATTCTGCTCAGGCAGACTTGGTGACTCACATTTGTGATTACAGAGGAGGACAAAGTCATTTCATTTAAATGAAATGTTGCAAAAACAAATCTCAAGCATCTTCTGATTAATCATGCACTGGAATGTTTATTAAGAAAATAAATATGGTTGTTTTTATGGGCAACCAATAGTCCCCTTTAAAAAAATGTCTCATAATCAAGTCTGCATTTATTAGTTAAACAGTAATATTCTAAAATATGATTCCAATTAATATAATAAAATATTTAAAAAATAAATATTAAAATTAAATATTAAAATATTTTAGGTGTAATTTATTTCTGTGATGGTAAAGTTGAATTTTTAGCAGCCATTACTCCAGTCTTCAGTGTTACATGACGCCGACTGCTCATTCATTTGCTGCTCAAGAAACATTTCATATTATTACCAATGTAAAAAAAACAAAAAAAACAAACAAACAGTTGTGCTGCTAAATATTTTTGTGGAAACTGAGATGCACTTTTTTAAAGTTCAAAAGAAAAGCATTTATTTAGAAATCTTTTGTAACATTATAAATATCTTTAATGTCACTTTTGATCAATTTATTGAATCACTGTGGAATAAAAGTATCAACTTGTTTAAAAAGAAAAATAAACGGTTTAAATACAAACAATAAATAAAATAACGGAGGCGGGGGACCCCACTCAGATCAGTTCAACACCACACCTTCAATCCTCTATAACTCACCATATGATAATTTCTTCAAAGGTAAAGCCGAACCTTTCCTCGGAGTGCCCGACATTGCAGAGTAGCTGTATTGGAGACACAAACAAGAAGTTATTTATTTTTCTTGGCAACAAATAGAGACATTGATGATGACTCTACTTGTACTCAAGTATGCAAATAATTGCTGGAACACTGCAGGGTATTTCACACAAAAACAAGCAAAAACAAGCTTACGCTCAAACAGTTAGAGGGCATGTTTTTTTTCATCCACAGGTGATTTACACAACTAATTGCATTGTTGATGTAATAAAACCTGTCAGATGGAAGGAGCTCATGCTATCAATGAACTTGTTGAATGAAGGAATGAAGGTGTTTGCCACCTGTGACAGTCCAATTAGAAACAAAATAACAAATTCTACAGCCATGGGATGGCAAAAACCACATGACATGTAATAGTTATGTCACAGAGCCATCAAAAGTGTTACTGTCTGTATTATACTGGTTCTGTGCAGCTGGCAAGCATTAGAATATCGCAACTTGAAAGATCAGGAAAAGATAATGTTTATGCTCTTGCCCTTCTCCATGTTAATGTTCAAAAGCAAAACTGATTCAGATACAGCACTGCAGTAATATGAGGCTTTGAATTGAGAGCATCTGAGACTTGGTTAATTGCTCAGGTCTGGTCATATCCTCTTATTTTAGGCCAGATCCTGTAAGTGTGGGGCAGAAAAGCCCTCAGGCCTCGACTGGCGGAAGCCATGAAGTACTCTGTTTACTCCATTTCTCCAAACACATGCAGGACTCCTGTGTTGTAATACTAAACAGATGTACCAGATTGGAGAGGCTGCTATGCATTAGGGATAGATTTTCAACTAGTTCGCCAAACAACAACTAGTTAATTTGAAACTTTTAAGTTACCAGCATTCTTCAAAATATCTTCTTTATGTTCTAAAGAGGAAAGTCAAACATGTTAGGAACGACATGAGGCTGAATAAATTTTCATTTTGGGTGAAATATCCCTTTAATGATAGTGAACTAAACCTAAAAACTAATCATATGTAGTTTGCATATCCCTACAATGCACATCCAGTAGCATCAGAGTGAGAATACTGTCTGATCAAGTTGGAATTTAGGCAGTTAAAGTCAGCATGAAATAAAATTTGAGATAGTCTTCTCTTCCCTATTGTGAAAGGACTTCTGCGGTGAGAAATTTTTTGGGGGGTACGCGACTGGATTTCGTCCTTCGGGAATTGATTGGATCGAAGGAAGTTGCTAACTAAATGGAGGAAGATCTGAATAGCAGTTTACAGTCAGTTGTGAACGATATTTAGTCCATAATAAATACAATCATATACAATAAACACTGCAAAATGTTTAAATCATTGTGACTTTAACAACATTGATCCCAGCATTGCATGTTCCATTGAAATTACTGATCACATTTTAAGATGACAAACCTTGATGAAGTTGTTCAGGTGGCCAAGTTTGCGCATATTCGAGACACCCTGCTGTTTGGCCACATTCTGGAGGATCTCTCGCATGTTCTCAGAAGGGTCTACAAGAAAAAGATGACAAAAGCTGTGAGGTCATCAGGAATACAGAGATGGGAACAGAGACATTACTCTCTGCCTGGAACAGCGAGATCAAAGTAATCCACACCATTTGGTGTGCTACAAATGCAGGAAGCAGAGAAGTGCTTTTAGGGATGGACTCAACCACAGTATAGTAACATTAGAGAAAGCAAAGCACACAAAAGATTATTCAAACAATAACCAGACAAGCATGTTACAATATAAACATCAAGATCAAGATCCAGTAAAACGTCCACCAAACTGCAGTTCTAGTGTGGATGGAACAAACTATGTAGCTAATATTATAATAGGTTTTGATAAATTTGTCACAGGAATACCTAAAAAGAAGACTAACCAATTCCGAGCAAGTCTGTGAGAATTCAAATATTTCAGTCTCACGTTTATTCTTCTTTTCCACTAAAATGTAAACTAAAAGATGCGTCTTCAGCCGTTTCTTGAAAATGGCCACGGCACGGACTCAGCAAGCAACTCTGGTTGAGTTAGATAGGTCATTCCACCAGCAGGGAACAGTCAAGGTCAAAGTCTGAGAGAGAGACCTATAGACCTATTAGAGATTTATAGTTAAATAACTAAGTAGTATAATAAATCAAAAATTCTTCTTTTATTTTGTGTAAAACAATCTTACATAAAATAGGGACACTCAAAGGCACTAATAATAACACAGCACTTGTTTTTACGACTTATTTCCCCCAGCAGTCACACAGGATATATGGTCAGTCATCTGTACCACAAAACCTGAGACACTCCCTGTTGCCAAAAACAGTGAAGATCAGGTCTTGTCTAAATACAGGTGCACAACCTTCTAATTCAGCAAAGAGGCATTAAATTGATCAAAAGTGACAGCCTGATAAATCAAGATTATTGCAATATATCTGACGTCAGCTTATTTTTAAAAATAATTATCTAAAAGTGAGTATTGCATGCTGCCTAGAGCACTGTGTTTTGCTCTCTACAGTCGTTGGACCCTACAGCCTGCAATGTTGGACATGAATAAGAGATGTATGATATCCACACATCATGCATGCATACTAGATATAATAATAAAAACATTAGAAACTTCTAACACCATCTGTATTTAAGTATTTTATGCCCATATAAAAGATCATATGATATATAATATTGGATATGGATGTGTGTGATGCTGCGGTCTGTGTCTCAAAACCTAGTACCGCAAGCATTTTTGGGGATCATAGACGGGTTTGGGACATGCGAGGCTGACATTCCACACAAGTCTATGATGCCCAGAAATGCTGTCTAGGTGGGGAGTTCACAATGTTTATCTGACTTACCTCTTGTGAGATCGAGCGGTACATTTTCCTCCCCACTGTCATTCCGACCTGTTTATGTAAGACAAAATAAAACACTGAGAAAAGGACATCTGGGGCAAGTGTAGCTGAAGAAGACTGCATCATATTATCCTGAAGCATCTGTCAATCGGCCGGGCAGAGTCTGCTTAATCTCACCTCGCATCCGTATACTTCGGATAGGACGGCCTCGGATGCTGACCGCCATCTTTTCCATACACATTCACAACACCGGAAACCTCGAAGAATATCGCGAGAACCGGTGTTTTTTTTGCTGCCTTGTCGAAAAATGCTACCGTAGCGCGAATTGATCACGTTATGAGTTGATCAAGTTATGAGTTGCTACTGTATACTGTAGACTACTGTTTTTATTTTTAAAACCGTGTGAAAAGTAAAAAATATCATAAAATATTCATCTTTGACTTCGTCAAAGTACACCTTTCCTCATAATAACTGAAACTTTCAGTTATTCTTTTTCAGCTGGCTGACCGTACAAATATTCATATGGTAGTAAGCATTTTTTAAAGGGAAATTATACATTATAACAGGAAAATGTAACTTTTGTAAAAAAATAAATAAAAAAATAAATAAAAATTAAAAAAAAACTGTGAGTCTGCACATGCGCATAACCGGTAAGTAGCCAATCTCGATGGGCAGCATCATAGACAGACAGAAAGCATGGGCTCTGGTAGCATGAATCGCCAGAACACCGGACCTGGGCAAACTGTTGCCCTCATAGACGCGGTATGCGCTGCGCGAATTACCAAAAAGTGCCAATAAATTACGCAACTTACTTCAAATGTTAGCTGGGAATGATTAACATGCAGGTGTTCATTCAATTCGGATCAGTGATCATGTTCATTAAAAGCTCATGTTAGTTTTGTTTATTTACCGTGGAAACTGTTATTTCCTTAACCTCAAAATGCCACTTTGTATAGCAAAAACTATTTACTGAATATTTACTTATTTTAACTGCAATTTAATAGCATTTAAAGGACTCTTTAGCTTTCAATTCATCATCATCAGTAGGCTATGTGTTATATTCTTATATACAGTAGGTCAAATTCCAAAAAAACAAAACTTAATGTCCATGGGAAAATGTTGGTCAAATGGCCTATAAGCCTCAGCAGTTGAGAACCACTGCATTAGAGCACAAAGTTATTATTACTTATCCATAAAGCAATGTTTATTATAGAAATCTATTACAATCAGTATCGTTATAACAAATTGTGATGCAATAAAAAGGTATAATTTATCAATGTTTATCCTCCAAAACAGACAGAAAGGAGAGAGAATGGCAAAAATGTTCTGGCAAAATACGCTAGATGTAAATTTAATTTAATTTAAAAAAGAAAAATAAATTGAAAGATCAGGAAGGTGAATATGAGGACAAAGAGAAGAGCAACAGAGGGGAAGATGATAGAGATCAAAACATACATCTGTCTATTTTAAAGTTTAGGCTATAATCAGTTGCATTTGTGGGTGTTATTATTGCAGAAATCTTAACACCTCACCCCAGACCTCAATTATGTGCAAAATTAAATAAATAAAAAGTCTAAAAGCATTTTCCTTTTTATTTTACGTTTCAATGAGAGGTTAAAATATTTTAATCTATTTGAATACTGAAAATGTATACTTTCCAATTGTTATGCTAAATGCATGAATATGAATAGGCTATGTTACAGCCTATTTATTACCCTACATCACTGCCAAAAGTATGGGGACAGCGAGGACACCCTGGGACGAGGAACTACGCAGATAGCTTTCATATGCCTCAGTAACACGACTGCAGAACTGAGAACACGATCATTTACAGCCTGCATTGTCAAGATATCAAGGACGAATCAACCCGACGTTGGTAATGAAATGTTCCTCTGACAAAATAAATCTCTTCGTCATTCAACACGATGTGCTATTCATTTCCTGCGACTGCAGTGGATTTGATAGAGCAGTGGTGTGCCATTCCCGGACTAGTGGTACAGTAAGTGTGTGTGCCCTGCATCTCTCCATCTTTTGTGGGCACTAACAACAACTTAAGATACTTCGTCATTTAATTAGCTATGTTTGTCTGTGTTATTGATTGTTTACCTATATCATTATTCTATTAGCCTACCAGATTATAAATATGAGTTAGAGAATTGGTTTAGAGCAGTTTCGTGTTACGGTTCGGGTTTTTAACTGCGTTTTCTATATTCCCCTTCCATGCAGGTTTAATCCCCATTTTGGCATCTGTCTTAAACACAAGATGAGCCGCTTACGGTACAAAGCAGCGACTGTCAGATGGAACTTTTCTGTCGCGCGCTGTGACCAGCAGCCACGCATCTGTCTTGTGCGTTTGTTGCTGCTGTGTTTGTGCGTGCTGGTGGCAGTGACATTAACACTGGCATTATTACTATCGAACCACCAACCGATGCAGTATGACTTGCCTCCCAGACCTCCTGACCTGTTCAAAGACAAGGTAAGAGGTCTTCATTTTCAAGAATAAAACCCTTGGGAAATCCATCTTTAACTTGTAGCCTAGCTGTTTTTTGGCACATGCCATTTTTTTAGCTGGTAAAAGTTTTTTTTTTAGCTTAAAGTCATCATGAAATCAAATTTTACCATTCGTATTTTTATATGTAATATTGTTGTGTTTATTATAAATGATTTATCTATGCACTTATCTGTGCATTATTTTTTTTTTTAAATTCATGTACCCTTATAATCTTTAATCAAATACATTACCCTCCCCTCCCCCCTCAAAAAGGACTTCTCTTCTGGTCAAAAACTATTACTAGAGGGCGTGGCTATTGGGGTCTGTCTCGTTTCTGACCCGCCTCTCAGAAACCTGTCAGTATCCCTGACAGCCAGCAGGGATACTGACAGGTATCTGACGCGTCCTCTCCTATATCTAAACAACCTCGTCTGCATGCCTGCTGGCTCGAATTTCTGCATGTCTGTGCATGTGCAAGGGTGAACTTGACCATCAGCCACCTCATCTTGGTTTGCGGGAGGTTCATATAAATATGGGGTGATTCCTTCCGGAAAATTTGGCTGCTCGTCCTCATCCTAAAGTTATGTTAACGTAAAGAGTCCTAATAGAGACCAAATGAGGCCCAGCCGGCCGCCACTTAGATATCTTCAATTGGTATTCCACGCAACCATGCCCATGATGAGGCCATCCCTGGTGGAATAAGCTCTAACGCCAATGGGACCACGGAGGCCCTTATGGTGTGTTCACACCGAACGCAAATAGAGCGTCAAATCCGCGTCTATTGCGTCTAGTTAGATGCGAGAATCTTCCGCTCGAGTTCAAATTTTTCAACTTGCGCGGAAGATGTTCACGACAACGGGGTGCCCAATTCGGGTCATTCGAGAATGATGCATCTATTCGGATCTTTGTATTAACTTTGTATGTAATCTAATCGCGCAAATAATTAAATTCGCTTTCAGTGTGAACACACCATTAGTCTCATAAGCCAGCGAGATAGCATCTATTATCCCAGAAAATTTGGCTGCTCTTCCTCGTCCTAAAGTTAAGTTAAAGTTAAGAGTCCTAATAGAGAGGCCAAATGAGGCCCAGCCGGCCGCCACTTAGATATTTTCAATTGGTATTCCTGAAACCATGCCCTTGCCTCTGGTGGAATGAGCTCTAACGCCTATGGGACAACGGAGGCCCCTTATGGTGTGTTCACACCGAATGCGAATAGAGCGTCAAATCCGCGTCTAGTTAGACGCTTGAATCTTCCGCTCGAGTTCAAATTTTTCAACTTGCACAGAAGACATTCGCGGCAAACGCGTCACCCAATTCGCATCATTCGATTCGGATCTTTGCATTGACTTTGTATGTAAACTAATCGCGCAAATAATTACATTTGTAACACCATTAGTCTCATAAGCTAACGTGATAGCAACTATTATAACTACAGAATAACAGAGGAAAATAATTCCATGTTTTCTTATAATATTGGCAGTATATGTATTGAGAATAGCAGAGGGCCTAACACCGATCCTTGCGGCACTCCATAGTCTACAGACATTATCTTCTAAAAATTCAAACATTTGGTTTAAGCCAGGTTTCAGATTGCACACAAGTTTCTCTATTGTGGGAAAAGTTTTTTTTTTTTTTTATGTAATCAAAATGTTCCTCTCACTAAGAAAAAAAATAGTTATTTTAAGAACTGTTAATTAAAATGTTCTTTGGGGAACCCAGAATGGTTATTCTGTTGCATCACTGCAAAACCAACCCCCTTTTGGAACCTGTATTTTTAAAAGGGTAGACCAGGCATAGAAAATGGATATCACAATCCAAAACCCATTTTTCCCAGTCTAATTTCTCTGCAATTTTCCAAGCATCCAAATGACTATGTTGCTCTTCATTCTGTGCATCCGATCACCTTTCACATGTTTACCATCTTTAACCTTTCATAGCAGAATCACCAGCCAGGTAACCCCACAGTTGGCCAGGTGAAGCGGCTCGTCTCGCAGGTGAATTGGGGAAGACTGTGGTATTCCCATCTGCGACCCATTCTCATTGAGCGACAGCCAGGAAGTCGTGGGAGTCGAGCTGTTCGAAAAGTAAGACACAATCAATTTAGGACCTCTGATTTCAGAGTCTGTAGATGCATACATTTTCTGTACAGCTGCTTTGAAACGATATGTATTGTGAAAAGCACTATACAAATTACATGTCAATTGAATTGACTCTCAGATCTAACCAAATATGCTATAATCTGATGTCTTCCATTTTCTGTGATCGTAGCACATCTTTTCTCAACTGGATTCTCTTTCAGCGGGCTGGTCTATAGATGTGGACACCTTCATATCTGAAACCCCTCGTGGTCCTGTTAGCTTCTCTAATGTCCTGGCTGTTTTAGACCCGACGGCTCCTCGACGATTGCTTTTTGCTTGTCATTATGACTCCAAATTTATACCATCAAATCCAGGTGACCCACAGAAGGTGTTTGTGGGTGCTAGTGATTCAGCTGTTCCCTGTGCTATGATGCTGGAACTGGTCACAGCTTTGGACCCACACCTCAAAAAGCACAAGCAGATGGTGAGACAAAGTGTTACTCTTTTATCTCATTTTCAAGAAAAAATGCTTTCAGAGGTCGTTCATTTAAAAACTACATTTGTATACAGTATATATATATATATATATATATATATATATATAGCATTACTAGGTCACAAGTTCTTACTGTCCTGAGATAAAGAGAGCGATACATGTCTCTGAGGAGGTCACTTAAGCTTTTTCCAGTCTTGTGAATAGCCACAGTGCGGTAGAAATCAGATTCAGTTCTGTTATTTAACATTTATAATAAAGCTTAGAGCCTCAAAACACTGCATAACTGGAAAGGGCTTTGATAAGTAGAGAAGATCCTCACAAACCCTTACAAAACAAAAATATATGGAAATATACATTACATTGAAAGCAATATACTATAATACATTTCCAAAGGGGACACTTAAGGCTTTTGTTTTTATTTTTCACTATATTGCAGTATAAGCATTGACCATGTTTGGCTTTATTTTGATACATATAAAAAAAAATGACAAAAAAAAAAAGAGACAAAAACTGCACTACAGTTTTACATGTAATTGCTTTATTGATAAATTTGTCTTTCATGAGTTAAGGTATGGGTTTACATAAAGCTAAAACATTGTGGGTGAATAAGATTTTACATATAATAACTATACACACATAGTACCGTATTGTATTGTATATGATGTACAGTGGATGTATATGTTATGAAGTGTATCACTGAATATAAAATGACATACATTACGACAAATATATTGTAGTAAATATATATATCAAAAATTTGCCAATATTATGAATAGTGGCAATTCCTTATGTATTATTCAATATAGTAACACATACTGTTCTGTATATTTTCAATATACATTAAATCATTAAAAATAAGCATTAATTTATAAATGGATTTTTTTTTTGTAAGGAAACCTACATAGCAGCTGTAAAATACATGGTTACTCGTCCATGGGGACTCGGTGTTTAATTTTTTTTAAAAAAATTTTTGAGAGAGGAAGAGGCATCTTCCTCTATAGGCCAGGTGCAAGAAATTATTTAAATTTAATCTAAATCCTTAGTAAACAGAATTGCACCGCAACAAATGATTGAACCATGATTACAAATTTGGGACATTTGATCGATTGTTTACTTTTATTTTACACATACAGTTTTTTTTTGTGTGTGTGTGTGTGTAGATGCCCAGGGTAACCCTGCAGTTGGTCTTCTTTGATGGAGGAGAGGCTTTCGAGGAGTGGTCTCAGACAGACTCGCTATATGGTTCACGGCACCTCGCAGACTACATGTCCCGCACTCCTCACCCGCCCGGTTCTCAACAAACCACACTGCTGAACGCTGTGGTGAGACAAGATGCTTGTGTATGTGTGTGGGCATTTCTTTTTAAAGGGGTATGGAAATTGTTCTTCATTCACTTACCTCATGTCTTTCCAAACCTGTATAACTTTCTGTTTGTAAGAAGATGTTTTGAAACAAATCAATGGGGTCCAAAATGCAGAAGAACAAACAAAATTTATACAGGTTTGTAACAACATGAGGGTGAATAAATAAGGACAAATTTTCTTTCTTTTTTGTCTCTTTAAGTGTCTATTGAATAAGTATATAAATATATGAAGAGTTCAGATGCAAAAGCCTCTAAGTGCCATTTGAAATTTTCTTCTAAAATGATCATTTTTATCAAGCTTGTATATTTAAGTTCAGTAATTTCACTTAAATGGCAATGAAGATTACCTATTAATTGTCATTTAAGTGAAATTACTGAACTTAAATATACAAGCTTGATAAAAATGGTCATTTTAGAAGAAAATTTCAAATGGCATTTAGAGGCTTTTGCATCTGAACTCTTCATATTGAGTTATTGCTGATATTTGCAGGATCTCCTTGTTCTTTTGGACCTCATCGGTTCCTCTGATCCCATGTTTGTGAATCACTTTGAGAACACAGCTCGCTGGTTTGACCGCCTTGTCGCTGCTGGTAAGACTGATTTGACTTTCCATTAATGTTAAAGTAATCCCGGTTAATCATTAATGTCCATAAAGACACTTAAAACTAATGTTTGATCTGCAATGGCTTAGAGTAAAAACTACCAGCCACTTACTTCAAAAGGAAATACCATTTATTGACTATGTCTATATTTGAAGATATAAAAAAAACTAACATTATCAGTAAGGTTCAGTGAAGAATGCACAATATTGGATTAGATAATACAATGATCATGTCTTGATTGTTATGAAAATTATAATTATGAAATTTAGTCATAGACGCTAATTATATTTCTGCATTTTTTGTAGAGAAAAGACTTCATAATTTAGGGCTCCTTAGTTCTCATGCCAAAGAGCAGAGCTATTTCATTAAGGATTTGAACATGGGGCCGGTTGAAGATGATCATCTTCCTTTCCTTCAGAGAGGTAGGCGAAAGTGTTTGTCAAAGCAAAAATTTTTTTATAAAAATAAAAAAATGGCCAAAATATTGCTGTAAGATTGACTATACTGTATGGACCTTTCTTTTTTGAATGCAGGAGTTCCAGTGCTGCACATGATTGCTACGCCGTTCCCTTCCTTCCTGCACACGATGGAGGACACGGCAGAAAAGGTTCACAGTCCCACCGTGGACAATCTCACCAAAGTCCTCGTGGTCTTTCTGGCGGAATATCTGCGGCTCTAGGATGCTATAATATTACATCCAACCACATCGGTCGCAAATCAGTCTATACCTCAGCTGCACTGCTTTAGGATATCTGATATCACTGTACTCAGAGATACATAACATACTGTATATTCTCAGGCTGCCGTCCTATATTTTGACATATGCTTTCCATTGAAGTTTCTGCCATGTTAATCAATCAGTATTGTGCCTTCAGATAGTTTTGCTATCTAGTAATGCACTGTATTGACAAAATCATATTATTATCTGTGCCAAAAAATGCGGTTTACAAAATTTGATTCATATGTTCAATAACTGTGCAATAAAATCAATAGACTGCAAAGTAGATACTTCAAGCTCAGGAATGGATGTGAACCTGATGCTTTATGAGAAAGAATTACACTATGCACTACAATGAAGCTTGATAATGCTACAACAATTCTGGTGAACTTATATATTTAGTCTTGCAATAGTTTTCTCAGATAAGCAGTCTATAATCTCTCAATTTTCAATACATGTTAGTCTAGATTATTTAATTTTATAACAGAGATTGAAAGTCAAATATTGACTTGTGGCTTTAGATGGCAAGCAATTGACTTGAGACCTGACTTGTACTCTAAATTAGAGACACTTCAGATCTACAATTTTTTTTTTTGGAATAATGCACAAAAATTATATAAAAGGGAATATTTAATTTAGTGGGCATTTACAGTAAGGAAACATATTCTATCTCTTATGACCAATAAAGTACAGTAAATGGTATGAAAGACGACTTTTTGATTCAAGAAAACCAAACTTATTTTATTTTAGATAGGTATTATTGTCCAAGAAAATCCCTAAAAGACATTTATTTATAGGCATTATTGTCCAAGAAAATCCCCCAAAATACATTTATTTATTGGCATAATTGTCCAAGAAAATCTCTAAAAATACATTTATTTATTTTTAAATGAATTTTCCCTCTAAAAACTAACATGTAGTATATAATAATCTATTAAAACAAATAATTCAAGACTTTAGTTTTCACTTAAACTTGACCTTGAAATTCTTGAGACTTGCATTAATGAATTGAATATGTGAATATGTCTGTTTTATAATAATGAATAAATATGTGTATTTTGCTGTTTGCAAAAACTTGATATAGTCTGATCGTATAGTTTATATATATAGACTACTGTACTGTATATAAGATATAATGGAGGAAGTGAGTCTCGTCCTTGTATTGTTCAGTGTGTTGCAATACAGCCTGGCCACTAGATGGCAGTGTATCGGGCACTTGCAGCGTGTCTTGTTGTCTCTGCATCAGTCAGGAAACATAGGTCATTTCGGCAAATTCAGTTACAGTGTTTTGTGTAAACGTTTTATAACTTAAAGCTGTGGTGAGCCTGGTCGTACCAATTACCAATGAAATCTTGCGCTGTCACTGACAAGGTAGAGTGTTGTTATTATTTTCTTCTTGTTACTTTGAAATGTCCTGAATAGAGTCGTGTATAAATGTAATGTTACTTAACGTCAGATCTCAAGCAGTTTTAGCAAGGTCCTAACATGTGTTAGAACACATAATTTTAGAATATTAGGCCTACATATTTTAATACAAATACATTTTTGACATGACAAAAATAATATTCCATGTAACGTTAGTCAATTAATATATATGCGATCACACTACCTTACCACATGTTTACAAACTTAAATATTAATCTTGCTAAAATAAGCTTTATAAAAACACTATACACTACTTGAAATGTCACATTCAATAGGGGTTTTCAATATTTTAGGTAACACTGACCCCAAAATAAGATCATCCTCGTATGAGGGACCCAATTCAAAATTTTAAAAGAAAGCCACATATTCTCATGTATAAAGAATTTGTATTATTAACGTGTAAATTTCTTGATTTTTTTTACATTAAGTTTATATGTATATATATATACATACACACTTTTGTTACTAAAAATATTTTAGTAGATAATTAATGTGTTTCAGATAACATACTATTTTGAGTTTCTATTTAGTAAACCAACCTCCATTGTATAAATTAAATAATGATAATAATTATAGTGAACTAAATATTTTAAGGCAACCAGGTAACTTTTTTAATTTGAAAAAGTTATTTAACATTTTATTTATTTAAACCCATTTTGTTATGACTTTTTTTTTTTTTTTTTACTCAAAAGGGTTCATTATAACTTTTTTTTATTCAATAGTTTTGCTCTCGCACTCTCTAGCGGTCCGCTGGGGGTACCCGGACCCCTGTTTGTAAACCCTTGTTGTACAGAACAAACTAACATTAGCAGCCACACACATCTGATGTTTTGAAACATAATGCTTTCCATTTTTGCAAAATGCACTAATTTGGCAATCATAATGCAATATTTCATTGACAACATTACTACCCTTCGCAGGTTGAAGTCACCACAGTCAATCCTGTCAACAACAGCGCTGTCAGTTTATTGTCTAGCACACTATGGTGCGCCACAGCAAGCTACAGAAACAGGTCTTATCTCTGTATCGGCAGTTTCTGCGCTCAGCACAGGAGAAGCCGGGCTTCTTACCGAGAATACGTGATGAATTCCGTGCCAACTCTGCCATCAAGAAGACCGACGTCATGCACATAGAATATCTGTATCGGCGAGGCCAACGCCAACTTGAACTGCTTAAAGATGTAAACACTAAACAGCTTGGATCATTCAGCAAGTCTAAAGAGGACAGCTGACCACTCAAATAGCCTAACAACATATAATCGGTCATATAATCAGTACTCTATTCAAATATTTTACGAAAATATGACCCGAAAAGAACAAAATTGTTTTTTTGGGGGGGAAACACCTCCCTTATTTAAATGGAATATCCAAATGACTTGGCTGGACAAGATTAACCCATTGCTGTTTTATCTTTATGGTGTTATTTATGTACATTAATTTGCAGATTAAACCCATATTATTTGGTGTTATGTCAGTATTCTACTTTTTTCTACTTTCTCTGACTTCGATTTCTTGTAGTTACTTCTGCATAAACTGAAAATAACTTTCTCGTTCTGAACTCTTATGTTAAAAAATGTGGATAATAATACTGATTTTATACATGCATACATTATTTTATCTTTATTTATGATTATTTATTTATAGTAGTTATATTTTTGGTGCTATTTAGATTTGATGATATGATGTTTGTCATGTTTCTCAAGTAATGACTTGCCCGTCCATAAGTGGGCGCAAGTGCGAAAATAAATCTGATTTCATTGGCGGAAGAAGAACACGCTGCGCTGTAAACACAGGAAGATCATGTAAGTTGTGTCACAAAAGCAAGGAACGGAATTTTAGCTGTAGTCCATAGTTTACTTATTAATTATCGCATACATTAATAACTTATTGAACTTCTCAACAAAAGTATGGCGGAGTCAAACGGGATGACAGATGCCCAGTTGATTCAGCAGGTGTGTCAAACGTCAACTCGGTCACATGCATGTTTTCTGCATGGAATAATTAACACTAGAGATCCACAACCATGTTTTACTGCGTTTTAAACTCAAATAATGCATTGCATTCTAACCAGAATGATTGTGAATGTGTTCGGGTTGCAGCTGGCTCTGCTGGGCTGGCTGAAGACCGACAGTGTACCGTGTAAAGATCTGCTCACTGCTGTTACTGGGATTCAGGTGGGCCGTGAGCTTCTGGACAGACTCTCTGGGCAAAGCCAGATAGATGCATACAGGGTAAGAATATTTTCTTTTTCATTTGCGTCTTTACAAAAAAACTACTGCGTTTGTATTATCTAAGCCTAGGACAATTATTGTAACACAATTTCTTAAGTCACAAACAAGTCAGAATGATGACACTTTTCCCCATGCCCAGTAGTTTTCTCTCTGCATGAGCACAAGTAGTGCTATATGAGCCTATATTTTTTTAATTCTCAATGTGTTGTCAATGTTGTTGGTTAAAGGTAGGGCAGTCTGCAAAGCCTATACTGCCCTACAAAGCAAAAAGGCAGTAACTGCAGTTTTGGTAAAGCATTAATTATTACAATTTTCATGACATTCAAGCCAACCTTTGTTATTTGACAAAACATCTTATCTTAAATGCATGTCGTTTTAGTGAAAAATGGTAGTCGTTTGTACAGTAACTGCAAAAAGCCCTAGCAAAAGTCATTTTTCTCAGCTCTGCACTCTGCGTAGTTACTGCCTTTTTGCTTTGTAGGGCAGTATATATATATAAGGTAACTTTTGAATTTTGCTCTCGGGGTCCCCCTACAGTTTGGAAACAGTAATGTCTTCTACTACTGTCTTAAAATTTGTCATGGTTACACCAGGGAATACACGCGTGCAAGTATGATACACGTATCATTTGTTGACAAGCGAGACCGCCAAACTCTGCAGAAGGCGTTCTCACGTCTTGGGCAGACTCCAGTGTTGCGCGTGAAATGTATATTATAATTTTTTTTTTTTAAACGCCAAAAGATTGCGTAGCTCATGTTTACAAGTCAGCGTCTTTATAGTAGCCTATTGTTTACTGTTTTACATAATGGATTTGCTAATTCAATTCAATGTTTGTGTGGTAGGTAATAGCCATATCATCAATATTATAATATCAAGCTACCATAGATGAATCTGCAAATTTGAAAAATCGATTTGCATTATAGCCTGAGGCAAGACACTTTCACCTGTGCTTTTTTGTGCTCGGGTTCCTACCCGAAACCCGAAATTACATTCAACCTATTGTAAGTCGATGTACCATCACAAGGGTTTTGGAAAAGTAGTATAAAGGATGAAAAAGTTACATAGTGCTGCTTTAAATTATGACATTGGTAGTGAAATGTATTCAAACTAATATAAATTGTTAATGATTAATTAATTTACAAATACCTATATGTTTTTTTCTTTATGATTTTAGGCCTAGGCTCTTCACAGTTGTACTGTAAATTGTGTTGTTTTGTACTGTGTTCCTTATGAATTCTAACATAGTCCAACCAATCGGATCCATTAAAGTCTAACATACTGTAAATGTATAATAAATTCAAAACAGAATGTATTACAGAACACAATCCATTATAAAGCTGACAAACGTTTGTGACGTGATGTTCTACTTCCTCAGAGGGAATGCATCCTGAGTATTGCTGACTTTGTGAAGAAGAATCCCAGGGCTTCTCAGCGCGAGCTCAATGCCGAGGTTGAGAAGAACGTGCTGGTGTTTGCCTCTAGAGTGCAGACCCTATAGATATACACTTCATATCTTTTATCCTTTTGTCTTTTTCCCTGTATCTCTGTATTCTAACAAATCTAACTAGCCGACTATCTAAACTGTTATGTTGAGGATGCTTGTTTTTTTATAATCTTGAATAATTATTTATGAGGGCAATCTGTTTTTTAAATTTTTTTAAATATTTTTATTGGGATTTTTTTTTTAATGATATATAATGCTGATTTTTACTGGTTATGATATTTACTGTTACTGTGATATCCACTATACAGAAAATCAATGTGTTGTTGAGTTAAGATGTGATTTTAATCTTCTAGTTCTAATCTGAAATAAAGCGCTCATATCTGATGATCATGTATTGTGTGTCATTAAAGTGCATAATACATAAATAATCAAACAAATGACTTATTCATATACAGCAGTGTGAAGGCCAGTTTTGAGAGCACTGATTTTAACACATGGACGACAAAGAAAGACAAAGAGAACAGTCAGGTGGATGAAGCGAAAAGAGAGAGGAAAAATAAGAGGACAGACTCAATAATGAGCCATCACTATATTCATCACGCAGCACCTGTGATGAATTAAATTATGCAGATCACACTTCTCAGATCTCTTGATGACTTTAAAGACAGTGTAGCACTCGGAGCCCAAACCGATGATTAGCGCTGCTGCTTTTGGAATAATACAAATGCAAGACGTGGCTGTATTTTTTGGTTTTGCCACGACAGTTGCCAAAACACTTGTCTTCCAATAAGGACAAAGTTTATGAATAAAATACCACACACTCTTTTGATATAGCGCTTGTCTGTCTCCACTGCACCTGGGCACTTACAAGCAATGACCAGTACTCTAATGATGGAGGAATACAGTCTTGTGAGCTGGCAACCAAGATGAAAGGCAAGGGTGGGCTGGTCAGAGAGAACAAAGCAATGTCGTCCCAGCCATCTAAGCACATCTCACAATAGAAACAAAGTACCACGACTATATTTTTGTCTGTCAACATCAAACAAAACAATATTTTAATGACGGTAACGCAACAAGCGCAACATGGTGGTCTGCCAGCTTTTAAATTGTACTTGGATGTCCTTGAAGTTGCATTTTCAGAGAGATTGTAATGGCGTAGGGGTGATTTGTGAGCGTTTAGGTATTTATCATAACATCAGTCCTGGAAAACAAATTACCATGGTAAGCATAATTTGCATCAACATTCCACTACTGTTGTTTCTTATTTTTTTAAATGGCATATATGTTATCAAAATATTATTGTAGTACATTTAATGACTAATGGCCTTGCATGAATATAAGGGAATAATAGATAAAATGCAAAGTGATAAGTCAAGGTGATTTAAAAGAAAATCCATGTAGACTAAATTTGTATGTCGAAGATTTACAATTAACCTCTCTGTCAGCAACTGTTGATTGCTATAAGATCATTTTTGGTTTACAATGGAAATAAATGTAAATTAAGTCCGCCTTCCAATGTCTATGTTGCTGCCTCTCTGAAGATTATGTGATTGAGGGCTCGATGCCTAAGATCTTAGTAGGGTAAGTTGGGGGAAGATGCCCCGAATGTGAACAATTTACTTTTTATTTGTAACATACAGTGGTGGAAAGAGTACTGAAAAAACATACTCAAGTAAAAGTACCATTACATTCCAAAAAATGTAGTGCGAGTAGAGTAAAAAGTACTTGTCCAAAAAAGTAGCTTATTTAAAAGTACTCATGAGTAGTGAGTACTGAGGTGCGGATTCTACCCCTTATAATAAACAAAAAATAAAAAAAAAAATTCAAATTATATTTTGTTCTTTGTAAGAAAGATTCTTTTTAAAATGCATCAAATCAGTACACTCATCACCATTTAAATCATATTATTTGGGGGGAAAAACATTTAAAATTAGGCGAAAAGCCACTGGGCCTGCAGCATGTTATTGTTGCACATAATAATATTCAAAAACCTTTAGAAACTCATATGATAGTTCAGCATCACACACCAAGAGATGGTTTAAATAGAGAGATTAAAAAATACCCAATTTCTCTCCAAAACGGTACCAATGTCAGTGTTTTGATAAATGAGAATCACTAATATTATCAGATTACCTCAACTAATGCACTGAAAAAGGCTAAGCTAACACTAATTACACACTTTAATTCCATGCTATTAAATATGTTACAATTTAAACGTAAATTCACATTGTTCTAGAAGGGTGGAATCATCCCTTACATTTTACACGGCTACATTTACTCATAATATAATTTGTAAGGAAAATTGTGCATTAAATAGGGAAGTTATATCCAGGAATCTTTTACAAAAGAAAGAAACAAACAAACACACGTTGTCCCTTTGTCTTTGAAGTATCGGCGAAGCTGTTTATCAGCAGCATCCACAAACACAAAAAAAAAACAAAAGTTCAACATGAAAAATGTTTTTGCGCAACAAGTGCACTTGCCAAATGAAGACGGATCAATCAGAAAACACTGTTTATTAACGAGCTGTGCTAATTTCTTATTAAGAAATGCAGTTCAAGTTAACGGCATGGTGCACTGATTCTGAATCTGGCGGCATGGCGAGCGCGTGACGCGCGTCTCTAATGTGATTGTGAAGTAAAAATGGGAGCGGGAATTCACCGCATTATGAACTCGTTAATACCCCCAAACTCAGACCAAATGTTAGGCCCTGTCCTGTAGACAGGCCAGCCTATATAAATATCATATTAAGCAGAAATGTAGGCCTACCTTAGCATATTAGTCTTAGAGGAAGACGCTGATATCTGGATTGAATTGATGCGTGAAGAATGCACTTCCACAGCAGTCACGAGTAATAGCAGGAATAGGCGGTTAAAGTTTTCTATGCTTAATTTGATTTGATGACAGTCACGAGACCGATTACTCGATCCAATCACGTTGATGGATAAAAATTAAATAAAATTAAAACAAGTATGTAACGAGTAACGACCACAAACAGAAGGAAAATGGGCTCTATGCACGGCGGTATTTCCGGTGAAGCATTAAGAGTCCAATGCAATACCGAGAATTTATATTGAATTTTATACTCCATGGTTATACTAAAGAAACGTTAGTCACAAAAACAGATAAAACACACACCCCTCGTTGTGTTTATGCTTCTTTTTAAAATTATATTAAATAATCATAACTATATATAAAATTACATCTAAACGTATGAACGTTTCGTTTCAAAGACGGGAGGACAGTAAATTTTGAAGACTCTGCCATAATCCCGTTTTCCTTGGTTTTCCTCCGCTTTAATCTCCCCAACCGGAAACTATTGAGCATCCTTAATTTGGATTTCTCTGTGTGCACGCTCTTTGAGGAAGACCCCATAGACCTGCATTAGCTATATGACTGACAGACAAGAACGGTTTGACCTAAAAATATCAAAATTGAAAATACTGTGGAAACAAAGACACCTACATCTTGGATGACCTTGAGGTAAGCTAAAACATATCAAAAATGAATTTCAAAGTGAACTATCCCTTTAATTTGATATTATATTACATTTACTATTTTTATAACCAAATCTTTGTCCTAATTGACAAATCTTTAAAATGAAGATTCACTACGTGTTTCTCCATTTAAAATCAGGTCATACTTTCTTTTAGTAGACATGCACGTGAATAAAAGATATGACTTTAATTCAGTCAAAAATCGGTTGAGTCAGAGACAAATGACTTGAGTGAACGATTTAGTGATTCTTAATACAAAAGACTAATTCCTAAAAAGACTAATAGAAAAGACCACAAAAAGGAATCAGTGAAAGAACCTTCTTGGGATTTAAAGGATTCTCAGTGGAATGAATAAAAATCCCTAACTGATACCTATACCGGTAGGCTGCTCAGCGCTCTCTCTCTCTCTCTCTCTCTCTCTCTCTCTCTCTCTCTCTCTCTCTCTCTCTCTCTCTCTCTCTCTCTCTCTCTTTTGTCACTACTCCTCGGCTGGATCATTCAATCACGCACTGCCAAGGATACACATTGCCACGAATAGACGTCGCCTTTTAAGTTTTAAACTTAACGTTTCCACCTCTTTCGATTCTTTCAAGGACTTTGGTGATAACAACGCGGTGCTCTTAATAAAAATAAATAAATATAAAGTCAGGTAGGTAACCTTTAATTTCACCACTTTAAAAATGCCTGCGATAACCAAGTTATTCCTGATCACTTAAATCAGGAAAATGAGACTCACATTTCCTAATAATCGCAGCCATGTTTGTTGTTGATAATAAATATTTGTAGTCTTAATAATGGCCTTTAAAAACCAATACAATCAATAATTCAATTAAAAGATTTAGAATATGTGTATAATAAAACATAATGTTCTATTCTGTATGTGCTTGATCATTTTTTTATTTACATTTTAAATGGCCAGGATCTTGTAAATAGCCTGCACTTACAGTTTAAGGGAACCCATTACAGCCTGCACATAAGGGAATTTCCTTCTAATACCTTTCACGAAAGTAGCAATAAATATTTTTCTTTTTTTTTCTAGCCTGCTTTCAAGGATGATTTCACATGAAGACCACAACATTATTACTGACTGGTGTGGCACTAGCTATACTTGGATAGCGAGATGGGGAAAGATAACAATCTTGCGCTTGCCTGCCTACTGTTACCTGCTAACCCAAAAGGTGTATCTTGAGGTTTTATTTCCTGAACCATGTGTCATTTTACCTGATAACCCTGCTTTTTACGATGGTCTCTTGTCTCAGTGCCACTGGAGAAAGTGATGCGGTTATGAATCCAGCAGAATGTTAATGGACATGAAGAACTTTGTCCAATACACACTCGTCCTTCATTTTTGAACTGTATCTGCAAACATATGGTTTTCATGTGACTATACACCTCTTCTAAAGCCCATTGTGGTGACGTTTATGTGTGCCTTTTGAAAGTGAGTGTGTGAGAGTGTTTTCGTCTAGTGTCTGTGTGCATGTTTGCCTGTTGTTGTCATTTCCTGCTGGTGATCAAGTCATGCCACGTGGAAGAGATGTCAGCAACAGCTGTTGCCTCCCACTGCACATGAATGAAGACAATGCCCGCTTTGGCTTGTTGGCAGCCCTCATCGTGCTCTACCTGCTGTGTGGGGCGGTGGTGTTCTCCGCTCTCGAGCATCCCTCTGAGCTGCAGGCTCACAAGCGCTGGGATGAACAGTTGGCCAACTTCACTGAGCAAAACAGCATAAACCTGAAATCACTGCAGGTCCTGCTGAGGCAATATGAGGAGGCCTTTGTGGTTGGGATCCGTGTGGACAAACTTAGGCCCCGCTGGGATTTCTCAGGGGCCTTCTACTTTGTTGGTACAGTAATCTCCACTATTGGTGAGTTACTTTTTAATTAGTTCATGCATTCCCTGGTAACCGAACCCATAATCGTGGCATTGTTAACACCATGCTCTACTACTTGAGCTACGGGCATGGTTATAATTGTTAACTAAAACCATAAAAAAAATAATCAAACTGAAATCAATTAAAGTATTAAATCCTAAACTTATTTATAACATTTTTTTAATTTATTTTTTAAAAGTTGAAGTATTAAACTAACTAAAACTATATAAAAGAAAATTAAAACCTAAAACTTATAAACTATATAATATAAAATTAAGTCAAAAACAACTCAATCTAATTCAAAAATTAAAGTTAAAAACAATTAAATCTAATTCAAAATATGAACAAAAATTGTAATAATGAATCAATGGAACTAAAATAAGTCTGGCTACTAGAATACAAAAATGTATATTATAAATATTTCCACTGACCAAATCAACTTTGTGAAATTTGAAATTTCATTGAAGGAATAATTAAAAAAAGACAATTCTATCATCACTTGCACTTGTAGCTCTGAGCCCATGTCATTTTCTTTTTTTTTTTCTGTGGCAACTAAATTTTAACTTGAAATCCCTTTTTCCATAACTGAAATCTTCAAACTTCCCAGTCTTGCCCTGCCTGGTTTGACGTGATTTATGTCAAATGTTATTGGCTGTTGTTCTCATGACCACTTGAAAAGTACTTAAATTGAATGTCCACAACACTTGGTCGGATTTTTTGGTTTGTTTGGAAGCTTAACAGCCTCTAGTCTCTACTTTCACTGGATTAAAAAGCAAACAAATGTTTTATTAAAGTTTGTGTCCCACTGAATACATAAAACCACAGCAGATTGGAGTGACACACGAAGGACTAAATGAAATGATGAAATTTTGTGTTTGTTATTTGCTTTCTTCCAATAAATGCATTAAAAATACATAATCAAAATACTTCCTGTTTCCTATTTCCCTCCAGGCTTTGGCATGACCACTCCCGTCACGGTTGCAGGTAAGATCTTTTTGATATTCTATGGACTCCTTGGCTGTGCAGGAACAATCCTCTTCTTCAACCTGTTCCTGGAGCGCATCATCACGATGTTGGCCTACATCATGCGCTGGTGTCACGAGCGGCAACTGCGGCGATCCGGCGTGGGAGGAGAGGAGGCCAGGAGCGAGGATGACAGTCTGGAGGGCTGGAAACCATCCGTCTACTACGTAATGCTCATTCTGGGCATCGCAGCCCTGCTGGTTGCATGCTGCGCGTCCGCCTTGTACTCTGCCATGGAGGGCTGGGACTACTTCGAGTCCTTCTACTTCTGCTTTGTGGCCTTCAGCACCATTGGCTTCGGGGATGTAGTGAGCAGCCAGCGGGAAACTTATAAAGCTCAGGAGGCCTACCGTCTCGGCAACTGCCTCTTCATCCTCATGGGTGTGTGTTGCATTTATTCCCTGTTCAATGTCATTTCCATCATCATCAAGCAGACGCTCAACTGGATCCTCAGCAAACTGGACTGCAACAGGCCTCAGTGTCCCTGCCGTTGCCGTCCGTACAGGCGTCGAGGTCGGGCCTGCTGTTGCTGCTGCTTCCCGCGCATTGCCAACCAACGGCACAACCACCACCCTCCACCCGGAAATTCCCGGCAGAGGGCTCAAAAACGCAACGCCGTGCACCCTGCCCCGGCCAACGAAGCGTCGGGAAAGCGTTTCACTAATGCATCAGTGGAAACAGTTTGTGATAGTGAGACTGACGCTGGCTTAGGACCAGATGGAGGTTATCTGACAGGGCGCAGACTGTCTGGAGAAATGATCTCAGTCAATGACTTTATGACCAACAAGGTTTCTTTGGCAATTTTACAGAAGCAACTCTCAGAGACCGCTCACGGTAACCCAAGACAGAGCCATGTTCGCCAGAATGGCTTCTCTGGCGGAGTGGGCGCCTTCGCTATTATGAATAACCGCCTTCAGGAGACAAGTGTCGACAGGTAACTCGGTTAGACAAAGATGCCGTTGGATATTGCACATCAATTGCATATACAGGATTTAATCATGACTTTCAGTTCAGGGTTGTGTACCATTCAGAACTGAATTAAGACTGGCTTTACAATTCTAAATTGTCATTTAAATATACGTTTAATTAAAACGAAAGTAGTTTATGATGCTAGTTTATATACGACTCATTTTTTTAACTACAAAAGCATAGTACACCCAAAAAATTTAATTCTGTTATTTACTCATACTTTTTTCCAACCGCATAAAACTATTGTTCATCTTTGAAACACAAATAAAAATGTGTTTAATGAATATTATTCCAATGTGAACAAAAAAGCCTAAATTAAATCTGTTCATATAATGCTATCGTGTCTCTTCAGAAGACTTTGGTTAAACCACTCGATTCATAAGGGTTATGTTTATCATTGTTTTTATGAATTTTTTTGAATAAAGTTTTGGTGACTTTCAGTGGAGGAACAGAAATCTCTCAGGTTTCATTAAACATCTTCATTTATGTTTCAAAGATGGACGTCTTTTAGGGTTGAGATAGATAGATAGATAGATAGATAGATAGATAGATAGATAGATAGATAGATAGATAGATAGATAGATAGATAGATAGATAGATAGATAGATAGATATTTGAATGCTACCTATAAAATTAGTAATCTAAATAGTATTTCATTTATATATTTTAACATATTTAGTAAACCATTGAGGACTATTGAGGAAATATTGAAAGACACCACTTAATTTCCCAAAATTAATTTGCTTTTTACTTTGATTTGAATTCCATACCAAATTCCAGTTCAACTTCCAATGGAATTTTGGATAATTCAATTATAATTCACAACCTGACTAAAGGAATTTTTCAGTTCTGAATTTTTCCCCAACCCTGATCTCGTAGCCTACTGTTCGCTGGAAATTAATTTCTCAGAGGTTTAAGCATTTTTTTCCATGCAATTACAGACGTAAATTGTACATTTAGCCTACTATTGTAATATAAAGTACAGAGAAAAGTACATCAAATTAAAATAGCCAATTACCAATGTATCACAAGGACGGTGAATGTAAGCATTTACGAATGGCTTAGTTCTTAAGAGGAGCCGTCTTTCAATTTAAAAAAAAAAAAAATCATTATAAACAAATGTGATTTTAATGGTTAACATCGCTTCTCAGAGTCACTTTGATGCTGAAGTGATTGGCCGGTGTGGTGAGCAATCACACTGTGCTTCTGGAGAGATACTTTAATGGCTCTTCACGAAAACAGACTGATTTTCAAGAGCCAGGCAGATGAAGCCACGGCACTTACTGAGAGACAGTCCCCGGAGGAAGAAATACAAGTGTCAAATCAAAGGGAGATGGTCAGTGTTATTCATTGTTTCATCGTTTCTATCAAGCCTCCGTGTCCTAAGAAACGAATGATCTAAAATGAATACAATTATGTGCAAATAGACTTTTAGCAAAATGGATATAATCTTGTCTTTTAAAAGACAAAGTCATCTCAATTATTTTTTGTTGTTGTAGATAGACTGTATAGATTCTGTAGATATTGTATATTGTAAAAGCAATTTTTACTGCTTTGTTGAATATTTATTTTGGTATCAACATTTGTGTTTCAAAAGAAATAACTACTGACACTTTTACATCTGTGTTACAGCACTCTCTTGTCATTCAAAGAGGTTTATTTATTAAAAAAATCTAAAATCTAATTAAAAATTAAAAAAAAAAAAATCTTTTTTAGTGACAAACAGCAACACTGTGTTGGCATGGCAAGCCGTTTCAACTTTTATTCTTTCTCAGGATATCAACAATTCAGTTTTCTGTATTTTAAAATGCTAATTCTTGACATCAGAAATTGGATTACTAGTAACACTGGCAATCTTTTTAAGGAAATACATACATTTCAACTAGTAAAACACTTTAATTCTTGATATCTGAAATTGTATTTCTCACTAGTTAAATGTCACCATAGGCTGCCATTCAAATTCAATGGTTGATATCAAAAATTGTTTTCTTACGAGTTCCAATTCCAAGTTGAATTCCAAGAAAGTTCCAATTTCACATATCAGAAGTACAATTCTTACTAGTGAAAATCATATTTTTTTATATCAAAAATTATATAGTTACTAGTGTGAATATAAATTCCTCAAGACTAGTTAAAGACTAGTTTTCACTAGTTAAATGTTAATTCTTGATATGTATTTCAACATGTTACATTTGTTATTTCTGATATCTGAAAATATATTTCTGATATCAATAATCAGGAGAGTAATTTCAGATAGCCTATAAAATGGCTTTCTTACTAGTAACAATCACATTTATGATATCAGAAATTAACATTGTCATTAGTGACATTGTAACTTTTATTTTTCTAGTAGCAATTCCTGTGGTGATATTTAAGTACTGAAAATAAAATTTCAGATCAAGAATGAACATTTTTACTAGTAGAAATGTAATTCCTGAAATCAAAAATTATGGCAAGCCATTTTAGCTTAAATTTTACCCAACGATACTCGGCGTAATTGCATTTTTACTTGTAAGAATTCAATTAGAGAGCTCTACAATTCAATTCTTACTAGTAGAAATTACAATTAGCGACCTCTCTAATTCAGTTGTTACTTGTAAGAATGCAATTGCAGTCCTCTTTAATTCAATTACTCTTTTTTTACTAGTAAAAATTCATTTAGAGAACTCTGTAATTGCATTCTTACTAGAAACAATTCAATTGTAATGCTTTAATTGTAATTCTTACTAGTAAAAATTCAATTTCTAGAGCTCTGTAATAAATGAATGGAAGTCGATGGAGACATATGACTAGTAAACATTAGTTGTAGAGCTCTCTAATTGGAATTGTTACTAAGAATTGAATTAGAGAGCTCTGTAATTGTGATTCTCCCTAGTAATAATTTAATTAGAGAGCTCCCTAAATTGGTATTGCTACTAGTAAGAATTGAATTGTAGAGATCTCTAATTGAATTCTTACTAGTAAAAATATGATTACAATGAGTATTGCTGGGTACAATTTAAGCTAAAACGGCTTGCCATAAAAATATCCATTGTTACTAGTAGGAATCTAATTTCTTTTATCGAGAATTAGCATTTTAACTACTGAAAACTGAATTGTTGATATCAAGAATTCATATCCTGGGAATGAATAAAAGTCAAAATGGCTTGCCATGCTGGATTTGCCATCTCACAGTCCGAGTCTCTACTGCTCCCCTGAGGATGACAGTGGTGTACTATTTAGAAAAAATGGTTCAATGCAGTTTTGTTTTACATAGAACCCTAGGCCGGGGTTTTAACTCAATTTTAAAGAACACTTTATGCCAAGTAATATTATGGAGAAATGTCTTTTTTTTAAAAAAAACCCTGTTAAACATGAAAGTAATATGCAATCTTTTTTTTCTAGTGATAAAATATGTCGACAAGCTTTTTACTCATAAAATGTTCATAACATTAAATAAATTAAAACTAAATCCGTAAAAATTATCCCATGATCGGAACCCCTAAACAGGTTTATATATGAATTGCCTGACCAAACCCTTTGAGTATCTATATAGAACCTGTTCTTCTAAGACTGCATACTGTTATTGTAGCTCCTGTTCTGAAATCTGAGATCAACCACACACTCACAAAATGTATGACTAAATACCATAAAGCCATCTGGATATGTAGCAGGACAGACATTAATAAACAGAAATACCATGAATGATCTGTTTATTATCTTTTTTTCCTCAACCTTTATGCTAGCACAAATATTGCACAAGATCTGTAAAATGTGCACAAAAAATTATTACACAACATGATACAGCACTGCATCAGTTCATATGCTAGTCATGATGAAAATCTCAGTAACATGAACACGTTGAAATAATTTCAAAGAGGTCAGTAAGGCAACACAGTACAGATCATGCAAACAGAGAGTTTTACAGGAAACAACTATTCAAAAATGATGACCATAATGGGCTTGTATATAATGCAAAATGTAAAAGTGCTTGTTTGAATTTTATTTGATAGAATTTGTTTCTTAAAATCTCATTATTTCTCGTTTTCCTTATTTGAATTATTAAAGGAATAGTTTACACAAAAATGAAGAAAAAAACAAAACATGCTGTCATGCTTCTAAAAGGAGTAAGCACTAAAGGCAAGTAAATCATTTTTGGGTAAATTATTTCTTTAATACATCACTGATACTCTTTTTTGCTAATTTAATATTCCTCAGAGTCCAGAGAATAATACTATTAAGTTTTGACGTTTTATATCGGTTTAAAAAAATGACCAGTTATAATGAAGAGAATCTTAAAAGTTTGTCATCACTGCTTACACGCATTACCTGAGTATCGTTGACTGTAAGACTCATTGAATACATTTGGTAAGGAAAATACTGAACGTATCACAATCTAAAGAGTCAAAGTTATATACAGTCATTATTGTCCTGCATTGTGGCACAGCATTACTTTTTGTAAGTTTCGTCATTCTAGAAACGTACAAAAAGAAGGAAGTAAAATTTGTGTTGCTGTGCAAAAAGAAGATCCCTTCCATTTTTCACGACAGAAAGACAGAAAACAGATCACCTTTACTTCTTCCTCAATCTAGCACATCCATTAAGCATTTATAAAACACAGACTCTAATTGGCATCTGTAGGACGGAATTCCTGAAAAGATACGGATTTCAGATTAAAAATGCTAAGATATTAACTTTAGCATAAAGGAATGACAATAGCATTAGATAAACACGTTATTGTGACATACGGTATCAAATAGAAGCTTACCTGGGCTAATCTTGATCGCCGTGCCTCTTTCTGATAATAGTAGGCAGAAATTATACAGTTCCGCCTGCAAATGTCCAAAAAAGTATGTTATTTCAGAGTTCAGTCCTCTGTTCTTTTGTCAGTCATCCCACCTACACATCATTTGAGCTCTACTTGTGGAGTTGATTGGTGCTCTGGTGTACTGAGTAGACACTCGAATCTGAGAACATGGACGTTGCTCTGCCGCACAAGGGTATCTATGTCAACCCTGCAGGTTTCATCTCATAATTATATACTGTACTATGAAATAGTCCCATTCGATGTAATGCAATAAACGTGTCCCCTCTACTAAAACAGTTAGGCATTTTGAAAGAATAGATTCACTTGATTAATTTCATGAAATGGTTCATTTACTTGATCCAACACTTTTATACCAATTATTATTAAAATTGTAAGACAGGAAAACTGGAAACTGGTTGAAGAGATAGACCACTGGTCTATGAGACGAAGGACCTTCGCAAATTATCATTTGAACTCTCACACACACTTCTTCCCCGAATCCCACACTCTTGCAGAGATCACCCAAACTCACATAAGAATCTATATGGTTTTAATTTGAACAAATATCATACAGTTTCACAAATCTTTAGTATTATTTGAAAATGTCCACAAGCGCGACTGGTACAAGTGTCCTATTTCTAAGTCAAACAAAAGGTAATAAGGCTTTTAAGAGTTTTTAGATATACACAAAGGAGGGTGGATGGGTAAACCCTCCTGCTCTCAGAAGGTGTGAACTCAATGCTAATTTCCCGTTAGCAAAATGATACCATGCAAATCAACTTATGCCCCCAGTAAGTCTGAGGGGGAGGGGGGTGAACGAAAACGGGTGGCCTTACGAAATAAATGATTCAATTATTATATTAAATATATACACTCGCCGGTCACTTTATTAAGTACATACATTCAATTGCACAATAACGCAAATGTCGAATCAGTCAGTCACATGGGAGCATCTCAATTTATTTAGGTATAGACATGGTCAATAGCCTACGATCTGCTGAAGTTCAAACTGAGCATCAAAATGGGGCTAAAAGATGATTTAAGGGACTTTGACCATGACATGTTTTTTTTGGTGCCCAGAAGGGCTGGTCTGAGTATTTCAGAAACTGCTGATCTACTGGGATTTTCATACACAATAATCTCCAGGGTTTGCACAGAATTGTTCGAAAAAAAAAAAAAAAAAATCTAGTCTATGGGTGAAAATGAGAGATTCGCATCATGGATATGACGTTGACAAATCTGCAGCAACTGCGTGATGATATCATGTCAATATGGATCAACATATCTGAGGAATGTTTTCAGCGACGAAAGATTTGAGTGCGTTCTGAGGGCAAAAGTGGGTCCAACCGGGTTCTAGCAATGTGTACCTAATAAAGTGACTGGCAGAGATGTATAAAGTACTAGAAACCCGGACTTGAGTAAAAGTACAAGTGCTCTATCAAAAAAGTGACTTGAGTAGAAGTTGAAGTGCTCTTTAAGCACCACAGTTAAGTAGAAGTACTAAAGTATTCAACATTTTTTGTACTTAAGTAATGCAAGTAGTTTATTTTAAAATTCACTACTTAAGTACTAAAAGTAAAAGTACAAGTATTGTGTCATGCAATTATTAAAGAAAGCAGTCAAAAGTTTGAACTAGTAATCAAATAAGGCGCTTTGGCAGCCGCCAAAAAATGTCATTGCAGGACAACCCCTGCATTAGTCGTCAATGTGTGTGTCAATCAATGCCATTACCCTATAAAACTGGCGTGTGATTTAGGCAGCATGAAAGCCAACTTGCAACGAATGATTCGTAAAATTTTTATAATTGTAACGAGTAACTAGCAGAACATTAAAAAAATATCTAAAAGTATTAAATTCATCGAAAATATCGACTAAAGTAAAAGTAGAAGTATGAGAAAAAAACAGTACTGTAGTAGAGAACAGATACAGCATTTTAGTACTTAAGTACAGTACTTAAGTAGTTCTACTTAGTTACTATACATCTCTGGTGACTGGCGAGTGTAAATCATAATAAATAAATAAATAAGTTATTATAATAACTGCTTTTAAACAAAAACAATTTAAAAATGGAAGCAAGATTAAAAAGAATGCTAATCGAAAGCTTAGCTTATAGATCTCGTATAGACACCATTTAAATCTTCTTAAAGAAGTGAATGTTGCAGTCTGTGAAATAGGTCTTTCTCACTCATCATCACTGCTGTGCTGACTGCAGGTTTGAGCAGCAGTAAAGCATGATAAAAAAAACACACACTCACTTGCTCTGAAGGCCGCCCCCTGGTGGAAGTCCAGGTATCACTGCTGAAGCCAGAACTGTCAAAACTGACAGCAGATCAGGCTCATCGCCTCTTGCACTCAGCTCTTCAAATATCTCTGCCAAAGAAACATGCATGACAATGGTTCAATTACGTAAGCAGACCATTTATTCTAATCGTTACATGAATCGAAAGGATTTTCATGAGACATAAATCATATAAATCTTAAAAGCAACTTCAAAAAAAGCCAGAAGATTTACCAGCCACTTTGGACTCCAGAAAGTCCTCCAGCTCAGCCTCCTGGTGCAGTGCTTCAGGTGACAGCTGGGGGGCGCCAGGGAAACAGACTAGAATGATGCTGATGTTATCAAGACTCCCCTGTTAGCAAACAAAAAAGGAGTGTGCATTTAATCTTTAAATGTGCAATTTTTCTTTAGATAACGCAGGCAGTAGCATGACGCTAGCCAGTCTTGAGGCTTTTGCTTCAAGAACAACTTCCTCACATTTGATGATTAAGTAGATTGGAATTGGTGATGCTAATGCAGACCTTATCCTTCGTTTCTTAGGGATGATGTCGGTTGTCTATCCCTACATGGCACAACACTGGGCAGAATGCTGTAATCTCCTAACACCAAGGCTAAAAGTAGTTTATCCTATTGCAGCTTAGCAGCAGAATACAGCGGCCTCACTTTGAAATGGTGGGTGAAAGCGCAGACCTGACAAAGCAGAGATTTGGCTCACTGCAGAGAGAAAGATGCTGACATTTTCAGGTCAGCACACATCCTTTTCTGCAGCCTAAAGGCCATTCTGTGTTTCTCTTATGTAATACAGCAGCCTGGCTGAAGTCAGCTTTAGATGCCATAGCCAACAGACTATGCAACTAAAACTTGTGTATAATGTATGTAAATAATTTCTATCTAAATGATACATTTGTATAACAAAATATATCTGAAAATACAATTCAGACATTTCTGAAAGCTGCTGGTCTCTGAAACTTCGGAGAGCAGTTTGCGTGTGGACTTGTGGAGAGTTGGTCATGCATGTAAAGTCTAGTTTTGGTGGTAAATCCATTGCATGTTTTGAAATAAAGAAGTGAAGCTGCCATTTTCTCACCCACTATAGTTTTCCTGCATGAGTGTGAGGAGAAATCAAACTCCGGTTTGGGCCACACAATCGAAATCAGTGAGAACTGATTCTTTCATACTAACCTTATAGAGGCAGAGGTCGATGACCTGGGAGCAGACCTCTCTCAGGTCAGTGCAGACACGCAGTCGGCTGTGTACGAAGGCACAGAGCTCTTCATTACTGATAGTGTCCCATACACCATCGCAGGCCAGAACCAGAAACTCATCTGCTGGCGAGCGCTCCACAGCCGACACTTCCGGCTCGGGCGAGACCATCTGTTCTGTGACCGACCGCCACTCGGTTGTCTTGTAACTGAAGTCGCCCAATGCCCGAGAGACTGCCAGCGAGCCATTCACTCGCTGCAAAGTCACAGATCCTCCAGCGCTCTCTATCCTCTCCCTCTCACCGGGGCTGAAGGGCTTGTGGTCCTCCGTGGAGAAGGCAACCCTCCCAGCACGGCACAAGACGGCCCGAGAGTCCCCGCAGTTCACGAAGTAGATGTGGTGCGGGGTGATAGCAGTGGAAACCACAGTGGTCCCTCCACGTTCCCAACCCTCGCGGCAGGCCATGGCATGAAGGTGCTTGTCCATGAGAAAAAAGCCCTCCTTGATACCCTCAGTGACCCTTTCCACGTCGTCATCTGCTCGGATCTTGCCTGAAAAGAGAAAAAGCTCATGTCACTAAATCACAAAGACGAATCTAGTACTGCAACAAGCCGCCATTAAGTGACTTCTAATTGCTTTTCCTACATTCGGAACATGTTGTCCACTAAAATTAACTTGTCAGATCATGGCTTAATTAGGTAATAATATTGATGTGGCTCTGGATGTAGAGTGGGTTTAGAAATTAATCCAATCGGAGGAGATCCTCTTAGATCTATTCTAAAGAGATCAACAACAATCAATGTGATGGGATGATCAAATGGGAATTCTGTTTCTCAACAAAATCAGTAGAAGCCAAAGAGGTACAAGAAGTCTTTCCCCTTTTTTTAGAACAGCTTGTCGCTCACCTGTGCCCAAGATGTGGTCCAGCAGGTTCCGGGAGCAGTGTTGGGCCACCGCGCTTCCTGCGTGTCCATCGAACACGGCGAAGAACCCCCAATGGGACAGTTCCCCTCCTAGCTGAGGGAAGCAGTTGTGGAAATCCTCCATGTGGGCCCTCCAACCCTGCATGCTGGCCAGGGCGTAGGTAAGTCCCCAGGAGGCACATCCCTCTTGCATGTGCTTGTCCAGAACCGGTCGATCTAAGTAGGGGCTAGGGATGACCCCTTCCTCCTCTGCTCCCTCTTCGCCTTCGGACAGCTCCCCCGCACCTCCCCCTCGCCCCCCTTTAAAAAAGGAGGTGACCCTTTTCTCGGTTTCCTTCACCAGCTGTCTTACAAAAGCAGGCATTTCCACGCTTCCTTTCCTGGATGTCCTCATGTTGTCTTTTTTTTCCGCACTTGTTTGAATCCGTTCACGGCCTCCACCCAGTGCTGTTGCTCGCTGGCTTTGGTTTGGCTGTGTGTAGCCTTTCTGCTCAGGGCCTTCACAGCATTATCTCCCAAGAGGCTGATTCTGCACCTTCGAGCATCCTTGAATGATCCACTGTAGAACGGTTGATTTCCCCTTCTGTCACTCTACCCATTACTAGACAATCTCACTATGATCGAATCTATCTGTAGGCATAGTTGCTCTTCCCAATTTGATCCACTTTTGTTGCCTTCTTCCTCTGTATGTCAGTGATATTCTCTCTCTCTAAGCTTTCTTTCTCTCTGAGCCTGTTATTTTCCTGTCATCCCTCTGATTGGCTGAGCTATTTCTGTGTACCAATCATCTCGCAGTGTCTTTCCTCTTGTACACACCAACATGCAATCCTTTTGCAGAGTGGCTCTCTTTTTCACATGTTCAGTGGCTCTCTCCCTCCGCCTCTTCTCTCTCCCTCCCTCTGTTAATCATCTGTGCTGAACATTTGATAATTGTGGATTATCTAACATGCACAGATTAATGTGAATAAGAGATTTTCACAGTAGCCCAGTTAGAGAGAAAGACAGAGAGCGAGAGAGATAAAAAGAGAGCACACAGAAAATGTTATGTGGGGTAGATTCAGTGATTCATACATATTAAAGAACATGGGATGGTTTGCCTTGAGCAGAATTTATGAATGACATATTCAAATATGAATTTTGGAGACTCTTACAAGCGATGATTTGGGCAGATTAGTGGATTTTGTTCATTTAGAAATGCATTCATACACATGATTACATAACAGGCTATTTTTGTCTTTGTAACTCTTCTTGTGTGTTCATGGAATGACGCAAATAAAAATATGTCATGAATAAATGTGTTTGACAGCTGAACGATCATTGGATCAGAGTCATCTGCTGGGTTAAGTAATATGAAAAAAACTACACAAAAATAGAGGGATTATTTAGGATTTTTAACACTTTTAAACAGAAAGCAATATAAATGTTGACTATAATTTATAATTCAATGGGGGAATATTTGTGGGTCCTCCTGATTATGACAAATGTCTCCTGTTACCAGTAAAAAGTGTTTTTAATATTTTTTTATTTAAAATATATCTAGCTAGTGACAGAGTGCAGGAATGTTTGTCTAAAATAATTCTGTATTTTCAGATTCAGAATCATGAATATTTTTATTCTGGTGTCACCTGGACTTTGGGTTACCAGATCCAAGTCCAAGCCTATTCATTTCCACCAAACCAAATTTAGTAATAAATAAAATTATATCTATATCTATATACATTTATATATATTATTTTAGTATTATTTATATTATAATTTAATAAATAATTATCATATGAATCGCTACTTTTTTATTTTTTCAAAAAAGAATCGCTCCTTTTTTCGAAAGTGAATCGATACTTTTTTCTTTCAAAAAAAGAATCGCTCCTTTTTTCAAAAGTGAATCGATACTTTTTCTAAAAAGAATTGCTACTTTTTCAAAAAGTGAATCACTACTATTTAAAAAATTAATTGCTACTTTTTTGAAAATGAATCGCTACTTCAAAAATGAATCACTTCTTTTTCAATTCAAAGTATACTTTTTCAAAAAAAGAATCGCTACTTTTTCATAAAACAATGTCAACTTTTTCGAAAGTGAATCACTACTTTTTCAAAAAAGAATAAATACTTTTTCAAAAAGAATCGATGCTTTTTCAGTCCTACAGTTTTTCATCGTTCAATACATAATTTTTAAACATTGTAAAAAAAGTATAATTACATTGTAATAAAGTATAGTTACATTGTAAAAAACATTTAATTACAATGTAATAAACGTATAATTACATTGTATTAAATGTAAAAAAAGACTAACAAATGTATAACTTTTTTTTACGCTATTTTCAAAAAAGAATCAAAAAGAATATATTAAATATATCTATAAATTACAGGAACATCTGTCTGTGTGTCCGTTAATCGAATATGTCTCAAACCGTTAGTCCAATGGATCTCAAACTTGACGGGTGTCTTGCTACGGGCTCCCTCTCTAATGTCAGAATGGTTATTTTTAAACCACAACTTCAATGTGTGCTTCTTTTACAGATATATTTAACGATATCTTTTGCATTTCTAATCCAAACGGCACTGCACTTACTCGTGCCCGTAGCAAGACACCCGTCAAGTTTGAGATCCATTGGACTAACGGTTCGAGACATATTCGATTAACAGACAGACAGACACTCAGAAAGACGTTCCTGTAATTTATAGATATATTTAATATAAATTAATATATAATATATAAAACTGTACACACGCACTATTCACAGAATAATCTTCACACAAAATCTTCAGTTGGGTGTTAAAGGCCAGCACTTTTGCAAGCATGTGAGAAAAAACAAAGCACAGGACTCAATGAACAATCCCTGAGTAATTTGCCCCTGTCTAAGGTTATCAATTTCCCATAAGATGAAGACTTGTCTACACACAGACATGCTGACGTCTCAGGTTTCTTAAGCTCAGAACCGCCCATGAGGGAATCATAGCTGTGTATGTGTGTTTGTAAAGATGTGTCCAAGTGGTTGAGATATTATTAGGTCAGACCAACCCCTTCCTGCTGACATCGCTAGGATGGCCAAAAAAAGCCCAGAGGGTTCTTGGCGTTCTGGGAGGAGAGGGGGTTTGGTGTGGAAGCAGCAGAAATGGCCAGCAAAGGTGAGAGCCTTCCGCAAAAACCAAACAGCACTGGGACTGAGGTCTCCTGAGCTATGTTGTTTACACGTGTAATGTGCTGGTATGCGAAGAGCAAGCTGAGGAAAGTGTGTGAGTGTGTGTGTTTATGTGTGGGAGGATCAGATTGAAGCTGAGTGGTTTACACTAGAGGTATAGTACTGACTAGTCAGCACATCACACAGGGCTTCTCAATGGGAATCTGATGGATGGACTGCTTTCAGGAGTGGACTGATGCATGACTCTAGGATTTTCAGGCAGAGGGAGAAAAGGAAGCATTGATGTCTGAAAGAAGGAGGTGAGATCTTCTCTCAGTCTTATTTTGGCTGCGCTGGCATATACGTCTCCCCGGAGAGATTCAATCTGACCCGGCCATGTTAGGCAGCAATAACGAGGAGTGAATGCCTCGTGGAAGACTTTTACAGTAGGGTTTGGATTGATCTGATACAAGGCTTCTTCAGCTTTGCACCAGTGTGCGCCACAGCACAGATTTGCACCTGCGTTTGAAAGATAATCGGAAACAACAGCTGTTGGGGTCTATTGGCTTTACAGCGGAAAGGGCGTGAAAATGCACATTAGCTGTGCCACTTGGGTTGTGTCCATGCACTCTCTCTGACACAAGGCCTTATTGTCCATTTATCTCATATGTTTGTCTCAAAGAGTATTTGCTGTAATTTATTGCAGTTGTACAAAATAATGTGCAAATAAGTGATGGATGAGCTCATGGACAACTGGACAGTGAACAATTCAGATTAGTCTGTTCCTATGCAGACAAAATTGAATGCGTTTATAGACTTGGCGTGTTTGGCACAGCCTGGGGTGTATAATGTGATCAAGCTTGGCTGGACAATGTCATGGTTTCATCAAGTGTTTCTGGTGGAGTCGGCCTTGATCACACATCTGCTTGTCATAAAAATCAATAATCAATGCTAAATGAAAATCTCATAACACTTTACAATACGGGTGCACTGATATGCATTAATTCATACTTAACTAATGTACAGATAATCATGAGTTAATGTATGACTCATGAAAAACTAAACCATTAATTATTACTGCATCAGCAACTAATAAAGTGGAGTAAAATAGAGTCTAAATGATTAATAGATTAATAAGTAATAAATGAATTCCTATTAACTAATAGTGTAAATGAATGTGTTAATTACCACAATTAGTCAACTCTCTGCACTTCAACTTCCAGATGTCTGCTATAATTAATTATTAGCTAATGATTTGCAAAGCTATCATTATATTATGACTTTACTTGTTGAGGCAATTGACTATTAACTAATAGCAATAAAAAGTAATATGTCATTATGGTAATGAGTTTTGTCATACCCACTAAAGGTCTGTGGTTAGTTACTTATGCAGTGTATATGTAGTGCTAGACGCTTGATTAATTGCTGAAAAGTAATAACTAATTAATGGTTTAGTTCTTAAAGTCATACATTAACTTATGACTGTCAGTGCATTAATTGAACATGCATATTAGTGCACCCGTATGTCTGCTTGTCATAAAAATCAATAATCAATGCTAAATGAAAATCTTCATTTTAAAAGCCTTTTTAAAATAAAAAAAAACTCAGCAGGCTACTACTTTATGTTTCTGTGAACTTTTTAATTCCGCTTGTTCTTTTCTGTCCTTTTTTTGTTTTCATATTCCACTGAGTCTTGTTTATCCCTATATTGTGCTATTTGAGAGCTTTTACACTGCTGAAATTCTCCACAAAGAAGACTGAGAATGTTTCGCCTGACCGAATAATTCAATATTTTGTTTTTGGATACTCAAAATGTACTCTACCCATCCCATTCCTGGTAGATCACTCATTTTACACAAACAAAGTTGGATACTTTGGTGGCTGAATGACATTATCAATACAATGATAATACTAGTAATGATCACATGTTGCAATGTCATCCAGATCACAACTATTTTACTCTCAACAAATGTTGTGTTGACAGTAATACAGATGACCACTCACTGCCAAAGCTTCCTGCTAATTAAAAAAGGTTACAGATGTTTATGTGTTTACATATGGCATCAGTTTTTGCATTTTATATTTTCTTCCCTCAGTCAAACCTAAATTATCATGTATTAAACATTAGGGGGAAAAAATAGAGAGAGAACCCTTCTTGACAGAGAAGATTCAGCTTCCTACTGTATGTATGATGTCGCTTCCATTATTTGACGTAGGCTGACATTAAAATTAAGGGACATAAGGTAATAATTAGTGCTTTATTTAACAATAAATCTATATTTGTTTTTACATATATTTGGGGAATAAGATTAGAGTTCAAAAAATACAAACAAATGTGAATTTTAGTCTGTTATCAAATTAAAAGTCTTACTAAATGTAAAAGAACCTATAGTAAAGTATAGGCCAATTTTCTTACTCTCTTCTCTGCAAAAATGTCTTAATTCTCCAAAATAATACTAATGATTTGGTTTGAATTTAGAAGAGAAAAGACAGAGAATTTCTTTAACATTTTATCAATTATTCATTCTGAAGTGAATTCACTAAACTATGGAATCACTCCATAAGAATGGATGAAAATCTGTAAAATGATAGTCTGTTTTACCACACACATTACCAGACACTGTGTAAACATGCACATCTGCATCCCTTTTTGGGGCCCGACTTCAAAGCAGTACTGCATGATTTCTCCCTCAGTCGCTTTCCATATTTCAGCCTGCCTATGCCTCTTTATATGTTTATTTCCCTGACGTTCCACACATTCATTTTTCTTGCCCTCTCTAGTGTTGGATCTGTTATACTGGCGAGATGTGGGGACCACCGGGCTGGTGTTTACTGGTTTGGTTGTGGGTTTGGCTTGTTTGTTCCAGCTCAGTGCCATCACGGTCCTGTCCAACCTCGGTTTGGGCATTATGGCCTTCACCCTCCCTGTGCGCTTCCTTTACAAAGCTTCGACACTTGTCCGCCTCAGCGATGGATCTCATCCCTTCCAGTGAGTATGCTTTAAAACAATAACAGTTTAAACAGTAATATAACCTCAAATGTGCATCTGACACTGCTGTTTACTGTAGCACTTAAGAGTAAATGGAATAGTAACAGAAGTCGGTTCAGAGTAACAGTAACAGAGTTGATTCGTTCTAAAACAGATTCATTAAATGCCAAAAAAGTCATTTAATCATTCACTTAAACAATTTCTTCACAAACACTGTTGCTGAATCCCAGTTCTCTTACTTACTATGCTCAAGTTTTTCATTTGGGTTTCATTTTGGCGTACAGGCAACAATGTAGTTAAAAACGATTCCCGTTTACATGGATTCGCAATAGTGGATCGCAAATGGCAATAGTGGTGTGCTATGGAAAAAACACTCTTGTTCATGTGACATTGCTTATAAAATTACAGACAACAAACCCAGTCATTTTCAAGCTGTTTTGAATGGACAAGTTCACTCTGATACACTATCAAGTTGTTCATGGGTTAAAATGTTCATTCTTAAGTTGAGGTGCAACAGTTGAGCAGATTTAAAAAGAAAAAAAAAAATCGAGTGAATTGGCAGGAGCTTGACGGAGGGAAAAGCAAATTAAAATAAGTTGGGATTAATGCATGTAATCTTTCTCAGCTGGTCCACTTTTCTTTATTAAAAAGGTCATATTTGGATGAGGACCATACGCTGACAGATGAGGACACAGTCCGCATGGCGGAACAAATCGTTCTGCTGATTGCTACGGCTGTCACCGAAATAAAGAGGCTGTTCTTCATCGATAGCATCATGGACTCAGTGAAGGTCTCGCACACATCTTAAATATCTCACCTCAGCTGAGCAGTTTTTAGGCTTTTACTGCAATTTATGACCTACTTTCACTACATCAGGGGATACTGCTGACTTACGTAATCAGTCCTGATATTACATATTACCATGCACTTTCATTCCCAAAGGCAAAGGTGCTGGGAGAATAAGCATGTGAAAGTGAAGAAATTCATATTTGGGAAAAAGCTGAACTTTAGTATTATAAGAACAAAAGGTTCCTGTAGCTCCCTTGGTTCAACAAAACATAAAATATATACTGTAGGCTCCCTTCATTGTAAATCTCTTCAGATAAAAGCATCTTGCACATAAATAAATGTAAATCTAAAGTATAACCATTCCAAATGAAGTATATTGCTTTTATCTGAATGACTGTATTTTATTTGTTTGTGTAGTTTGTTGTGTTCCTGTATTTGTTGACATATGTGGGGGTCCAAGCTAATGGTCTCACGCTGGTGATGACCGGTAAGGATATCCTGCTGAAATTTGTAATGTAAAGCAAATCATGACTGAAACAATTTAACTAATATTAGTCAAAACCGCTGAATTCTAAAAAAGAAAACTGTGTTGATGTTACATGGAGTTAATGTAATCCTTTCACTTCTGAACAGGTGTGATATGTGCCTTCTCTCTGCCACTGTTATACAGACTTCAACAGGTAAGTGAATCAATTGGATTTTATACACAAAGCCCTATATTCAAAGTCTTGGAAAAAAAGCCTTAATATGCATACACTCAAAATAAAGGCTCTTTGTGGCATCAGTGGTTCCATGAAGAACCTTTAACATCCATAGAAACTTTCCATTCCACAAAAAGTTCTTTAGATTTTTTAAATGTTCTTCACACCAAGGACGATAACTATAAAGATATAGTTCTAAAAATCATTCTCAATATAAAAAAAAAATAGCAGAGTTCACGCCACAGCTATAATGATAACGGCACAGAGAAACAATATCATTGGAATCACTTTCAGAACGATTTTATTCAACTGATGAACAATAAAAACATTGACAGCCAATCAGAATCCATCCTACTATAACGAGCTTGAACATTTAAAGTGACAGACAAGCACACGCGAAAAAACAGAAAGATATCGTCCGCTAGAGTGGACGCTAAGGCAGCACGAATAATCGCAATTTACATATAATCGCACTTTAACTGATTTGGCTTATCGCGATTTTGAAATAACAAAGGCTGCGATTATTGTTTATGCGCAGCTTGTCATTGATGTACGGCTCTGTAAATGCTGCTCAATCTGAAAGCACTGTGAGTTTGAGTCACTTAGCCTATACATTTGCAAAAGCAACATACGTCAAACATCTTTCCAAATATGAGAAGAATCTATGAAGACTCTTGTCCAACAAAAGACAACATTTAATAACATGCTTTTACTTCAAAATGACTTCATAATGGCCTTTGAGCATCTGGCTTATGCAGATTATGTGGCTTCTTACAATAACATAGTGTTTATTAGTCATGTTTAAACAATTAAAGGGTTTTAATCTTCTGTTTATTCAACTACAGCGATGATGCCTAGAGGGATTTTCTGTAATGATGCGCGTTATCTACTTCTGCGGTGGGGCATATTTGGAGCATCCGCATGAGACGCCCCCTGGTGTTCAGATGGGGTGTCATTTACTACTGATCAGCCGTGCTGCACTGACAAGCTGCGCATAAAATAATCGCAGCCTTTGCCAAAACGCATGTGGTTTCATTGCGATTAAATATCCAGCCATAGGACGCTATTAAAAAAATATATGATCAATAAGTTAAAACAACATGTTTTTACATTGCATAACTTATCAAAATAAGTTAAGCAATTTTCAACTTTTTTTCCAAGTTAGAAGATTTAACACATTTTTCTTAAGTCAGTTTAATGCAATTGAAATGCCTTAAACCTCTAAAGTGACTATACTTAAAACTTTAAGGCAGCAACTTTTTTTACAATGCGTTATAGTTCGTTCTTGGTGTGAATGGGATGGGGCAGCAGATGGGGTTAAAACAATTAAAGTGCGATTGTAAATTGAGATAATTAAACTTAAGAACTTAAGAAAAAAAGTTCTTTTATCTTCTTCTAGGTTTTTTGGAGGACCCAAAGGGTTCTTATATAGCATTATGCAAAAACACCCTTTAAGAGTTTAAAAAAAAAAAAAGAGTTTAGAAACTGAATGTGTAAAATTAACTTTTTATTAGATCTCACTAATTTATGCACCTTGTCTCACACACCATAGGCTATTTCAAACTTGACCCTTAAATTTTATTTCCATTTTTAACAGGGGAGGATTGACAAGATTGTTAAAGCAATCAAAAAACTTGTGGATAAAATCACAGAAATGTAAGTAAGAAGAAAAAAAAAAATCAAGCAACTTAAAATTGACATCATTCCTAATATTGAATATCTCCTTGCAGCACATTCAATATATGACTTTAATGAACTAAAACAACCATGGTTTATTTTCTTGACTTTATCATGTTCCTTTTGTTGTCACTCTGAGTTACGTCGGATTACAACGAATGGGGTTTCGCTTAGAAAGCCTATCAACGTAGTACAAAACGAGCCAATGGCAAAGAAATGCCATGGGTCTGCGGAATTTGCGTGGCTCAACTCTGCCCCACCTCGTGGGTATAAAGGAGGACACATGTTTTTCGCTTCAAAGCCTAGTTAATCCTTCACTCCACAGCCATCTCTGAACTGTCAGCTTTACAAGACAAGATTCTCCGGTGTTGGTGTGACGGCGATTCCCAGCAAGTGCACACTTCCTACTTAAGCCTAGTTCACACTACATGATTTTAAAATGTTGGGCTGAACTGTGCAGTTCACATTACATGACTTGCTCTCAGTGAAATCATGAGTGTTCAAGTTGTTTAGCTGTTCACACCACACAACACAACGTGATTGATCCACAACAGGAGGTAACTCACTACACGAGTTAACAACGCACTGCATAGAGATACAACCACGATCGGATGATAAGAGCATATCATTTGTGACTCAATGAGAGCTGTTTCAGTACTATAGTACGGTCTAAATCCTGAAAATAATCAAACAAATAACGAGTTGACAACAACACGATTCTATCTGGTCTAGAAACCATGTTTTGTAACGAAAAACCACGCAATAAAACGAACCAGAAATGACGCGAAACTACAGAGAAGAACATAACACGCGAATATGGACGTCAGACAGAAACTAGTGCTGCACACTGTTTGCTCGACGATCTGCTCTGAGAAAAAAAATGCAAAAAAGAAAAAGTAAGATTTACCTGGTGTCCTCAACCCATGCGTTGCTATGATTGGCTGTACTCATGACATCACTGAGATTGAGTCGCGCGACTGCTCGAGATATCTAGCAGGCTAGATATTTTTCTGAGCTCGGTGACCTGTCTGCGAGCTGTCTGCGAGCTGTCTTTGATGCGTTGTTGGCTCTTTCACACTAACGGATTGGCGAGCGTTAATCGTCCGCTAATCGCCCGCGATTTGCACGCGATAACACCCTGACTTGTCGGCGACTCAACGATTTGCAAATCGGGCTTAAATCGGGCTTAAAATCACGTAGTGTGAACTAGGCTTTATCAGTGCAGTGGTCAGCCAGTGAGTGTGTTTCTCCGCTTGAGTTTCCTCTCACAAAAGAGCTTACACATGGCACGTCTTTTTAAAGATGCCTTGCCCGTGCACTTCTGGTTTCAGTAGACTCGTGTCTGACTCTGATGGGCACGAGCACTTTCTAGTGTGTTTGGGCATTGATCACACTAGAGCAGCGCTCATGGATGAGGTTTGCTGGGTTTGGTGATGTTCACAGCCGTGGTCCAGGAGAGACATCTCAGGCTGACCCTGGCTGACATGCGGGATGCCGAGCGGTCCCATCTGCTCGACACCCCCATGTCCAAGGCCGGCATTTTCAGCGGTGCGGTCAAGGACTTCGCCCAACAGTTTTCGACTGCTCAAAAACAGACTGCTCGTTAAACACATTCTGCCTTGTCGGCCCGCTGCTGCCTCCACCCAGCCGACCGGGCAGAAGGCGCCCCAGCCCTCTTCAACCCCCACCCCAGCTCCCCCCCGGCCCCCAAAATGCCGGGCCAAAGCGGCGCTCCTGAGACGGGCTGCTCAGGGATGACTGTCACTTCTCAGGAGATGGTAGCAGGACCACTTCTTCCCCCGGTGGAGGGCCAGGAGAGAATCTTTTGTTCTCCACTCCCTGCTGCTCACCCTCGGGTGGGCAGCACCCTAATGTGGTTAAAGAAAGAAGTGATACCCTCACCCCTGAGCACACAGAGTTCTCGGACAACACGGTGCACCGCCCTCTGGCTGTGCACCCCTCATTCTCCAATGTCTCAGAGTCGGATGTCAGTGCGCCGTCCCCGGACCGTACCACTCTCATCCCCCTCAGTGGAGCCAGTGTCCTTCATGTACTCGCTTCAACCAGCTAGTACCGCACCCGCTCAGGTGTCTTCGCTTGCTCGCCCTTCCACTCCACGGATTGGATACGTGCAATATTTTCCTCAGGTGAGCTTCCACCTCAACCCTGAGTTCCTCAAGCACTGCTGACGTCGACGCCAGTGTCTGTTGCCTGCCCGTTGGCTAGGTGCATCCGTGTGCATGGGCCCCCCTCTGGGCATCACACACATGTGTATTTCCACTGTAAGCCTCTCTGAGCATGTGTCTTTCCCTTCGCAAGCCACCTTGCCACCCCTGGGGGTTGAAATACACCCCCTCCACTCATCCTTCGTCCTTTGTCCATGCTAGTCTCACAACAGGGATCTCAACGCAGGGCACAGCTGTGAAGGTGGCATGATTAGACTGTTAACCCCATTCGTCGTCATCTGACGTAACTTGGAGTAGGGAACGGAGTAGGGAACAGAGATGTTACGTCTTCCTGCCATTTCTGCTGTACCGAGGGGATCGCCTGAACTCAGTCTTGGCTCCTCAGCGAAGAAATATACCTGCAAATTGCCGGCATCCTCCTTTATACCCATGAGGTGGGCGCGGAGTTGCGCCATGCAAATTCCGCAGACCCATGCCATTACTTTGTTATTGGCTCATTTTGTAATACTCAAAAATTATAGACTTCCTAAGCGAACCCCCATTCTTCGACATCCTACGTAACGTCTCTATTCCCTACTCAGGGGACGAAGATTACATACGTAACCGAGACGTTCTCTGTGCCACTTCTTTTACATGTTTCTTTTCTAGAGTTGATCTTGTGGTTTCCCTGGCCAAACCTGCACCAGCCCAAGCACCTTCCCCCACCTCCACACCAAGAAATAAGCAGAAGACTAAATGAAGAGGAGGGAGAGAGAAATGTGGAGTACACTGAACAAAGAATGTCTTACGTTGCAGCTGCAGCCCTGCGTGTTAGGGGGTTATGAACGAGCGCTATGTTATACAGTACTTTTCTTACGGTGCTAGGAAACTCTTAACCAGGTCTTCTCAAAAGAATAAAGCAAAAAGCTTCTTCAAGAAGTACACGTCAGTCAAGAGAAGTCTAGATGTACACCTATTGTATTCATTTATTTCATTCAAACTGTCTTTTATAACTAGTAACTGTATAAAGCTGTGTCATATTTATAATCCTTGGTTAATTTTGCCTGACAAGGCTTTTCTACTGATTTTCATAGAAACAGCTGAGCCTAGTGACAGTTGCAGTATGTTTTTCTCCACTAGAGGGTACAATGTGACCACACAATCACAGCAGTTCTCAGTGGGAACAGCACGTTAAAGAAATTTTTGTTTAACAATTTTGGAGTTTACAATTCACACTGGGATTGTTCTCATTTGGTTTTTAAAATTTAATACTGAATGTTACATGGCAATTCAAAACTAATTTATAAGTCACTATGAAACAAGTTGATTTGCTTCCATGTCTTTGTCCGTCTTTTGTGCAACACGACCCCAGTAAACATGCGTTTTCAATGTTATTTGCCTGTTTTTGCATCTGACAACATACAAAACATCTCATCATATATTTTGGACCATGCACAGGAATAAGCAGCTGCTGAGGATGCAGCTGATTAGAGATGACTACGGAGAGTCCAAAGGAACAGCGATTTCAAAACATTCAATTATATCCTGGTTGCAGATGACATTCTGATGCTGAACAGAAACAAATAGAATGTCTTTTGATGATCAAATACTTCCATGCTGGGATTTCCATAAACAAAATATGGTTATTGTCTTCACAGACTTTTAATAAATATCTCTATACCATCCGTAGAATGACAACATTTATGGAGGGGACTGTTTAGAAAGCACGAGAAGAACATTTCGCACACTACGAGAAGATGACACTCAATGTAAAAGGAAGAATACCAAGTACTCATCTGTCAAGAAAAACTGCACTCATGGAATATTTTGTATTCATTGCCTTTTTTTATAACCTACTTCAGACTGACTTAACTTTAAATTGTCACTGTGTGTCATTTTTTTTTTTTTTTTGTTAAATGATAGTAGTGGGAAATCTCTAAATATGAAGAAACTTGACATTTAGAAGTTTTTAAACTTTATTAAGCTTTTCTAAATAGCGGTAGGCTATGTAATTAAATTCCCTGTCTGACTGAATGATGGCTGAATTGTCTGAATCTCAATTTATAAGGACTATAGGCTAAGTTTTTTTTTTCTTTTTCTTTTTTTTTTTCCCGGGAGGCTTTGCAGTTTTGTACTGTACTTTGATTAGTACTTGATCTGTTGATATTTACTGGTGCCATCACAATAGATATATATTCTAATTATAGCAACATCTTTTTGCCTTAAAAAAAAAAAATATATATATATATTGTTTATTTTAGATGGGAAAAAATATATTTACACACACACACACAACAACAACAACATTTCTCTTTAAATGTTTTTACGCACAAAAAATGTTACAACAAATAATTGTTTTGGCTCTTAATTTTAAATGAATAGCTGGAAATTATTGCTCCATGTCAGATTAACAAACATCCTTTTACTGGAAAAAAAAATGAAATATGATGAAATGACTATAATTACAATAACTTTTCATCTGCAGCTAGATAACCTGATGACATATGTAAATAACAGTAATGCTCATTGTTCTATAAAAGCATATGCATATGATCAACAAACATACAATGTAGTGACAACACAGAGCACCCACAAATATTTTTCACATCATCAAGCCATTCTTGTTCTTGAGGCATATGTCAGTCTTTTTAAAAAATTTTCTCTTCTTCTAACTAAACTTATGGCTTAGATAAGTGATGTATAATAAATGGAACAATAAGGAAAGCACAAAGTCTGAAGTTTGAAATTTAACACAGCATTTGGCAAGCAATGTTCACATACAATCTTGTGCGTGTTAAGATTAAAATGCCACCAACAATTTTATTTCCATTCCTTCACTCACACGGTCCAATACTTTACAACCCCCCTGATCATAAAGCAAAGAAATAAGAAAGACAATAAGCTGTAATTTTGTCCGAAATGACATCCTCACAGATGATTCTGCCAACACGTTTTGGGATTGTGGTTGTATAAAAGTGAAATACTATCTCACACTTGAGCAGAAACATCTGCAATGAAATGAACAAAATAACTAAAGAGAAATCCCCAAATGCCTTAAAGTGGCATCAAACGAAGAATCAAACTGACCATGTAATTCACCAGTAGCCATCAGACACAAACAACACAAGATTCCAGCTGCATTAGACACGGATACATGCACCTTGAGCCAATTAAAGAATACTAAGTTGTGTATTCGTATTCTCAACTCAAAGAACATGATCCCACAACAGGATTTGCCCAGTGGCATTATGGGAAAGAAGCAGAAGTAGTGCACTACAGTTGAGTGCAGGTCATTCTCACTAGTCGTACATGAGGCTGTCTGGCAAAGACGTGGTAATTGAGTTTTAGAGAAAGTGCTTTCACAGCAAGAACTTCGTCATGGAGAGATCATTGCAAGGTGAGTCACAGAAATCTCTTTATAGGTTAGAAAAGTCAGAAATGGACACATTTTTACCACAGTGGCTGGAATGAAGTGAATGACATAACTTTACTAATTCATTTCAGAAAAAGAACAATCATTCATTGCTGGTTTAATATTATTGATTGTCTAAATGGATCCTCGCTACAAATGTTTGTTCATTGATCATACACTCCATGTTTTTTTCTCTCTCTTTATTGATGTGCACTCTCCTCTGAGAGCTCTTGTACATTTACCCGCCTCACTTAGACACACACGTGAAACACAAATAGAGGTTTTCATAAAGTTCGCAAACTACTGACCTTTTTGACTTGTAATTTTTTAGCGAGCCATTTCAATTAAGAGTTAAACTCTTCCTCTCAGTCTTTTTTTTGCCTTTGTGAAAGCCACTTGAATGATCTCATTCACTGAGGCGAAATGCCACAATGGCCCCAGATAATCACAGGGACAGACTAAGAGAGAATCCCTTTGTTCCTGAGAGAGGGAAATTATTCAAGGAAACTTCTGCGAGTGAGTCTGGATGGGTTGGGTATCTGGACAAGAGGAAGAGGTCGGGAGAAGGGAAGCACAGGGATACAACCAACATGGATAGGTTAGGTTCACTAATGTTTAAATCATACTGCGGCTGTATGGGGCAGCTGTTTTTCCTCATTTTTATCATTCCATGTCTATATAATTTTCTTTGGGTTTGATACCCTTTTCTTTGCACTGAAGGTCAAATGGAGCACTATCACAGATATGCATAGCAATCCAGATCACTGAGGAAGCTGTGAAAATAGTTTTAGAGAAAAACAGCTATAGAGGCCTGTGCTGTGGCAACCTTCAGGGAATGGATGGACAAATGGAGAAATAGCAGGAAAATTAAGTGAGTGAGAGAGAGAGAGGGTTAGAGAGAGAGAGAGAGAGAGAGGGTGATGACGTATTGAGACATTGAGCAGAATCAATTGTTCACGTGACCATCCCCCTCTGTAGGGCACCTTGATCCCCCTGGTGTTAACAAAACACTTGCATACACATATTCTCCCTTATAACACCAGATGTATTCTCCACAATCTCTGTGTCCGAGCCTGAATTGCCTAGACATCCACTAACAAAGAAAAATGTAGGCTATTTCTGGGCTCCTATAAAAAAAATAAAATAAAAAAAAATTTAAGAATAAAGAAAGCCTCTCTTTTCCAACGACCAGAACGGAACCAAGAAAAAAAAACTCATAAATAATGATTAGAAAGGAAGAGCAGTTGGGTGAAACAGTCTCACAGTTTCAATCCAATAAGGGTAGTGCAGGGAAGTCACAAGGGTGTCTGGGAAAGCAAGACACAGCGCAGTGGTATACAGTAAAGCGCAACATTTTGTATTGATTTATATACAGCAAAGTCATAGCATACTGAAGTGATTCTCCACAGATTTTGCTTTAGGTTTTTGCTCACATGTTATATTGTGCTTTTCTATTTGTATAATACTTTTTATGTTACCACTCTAGTGATCCTGGCTGTATTTGTACCATATACTGTATATCCATTTCTCTTATTAAACAATAACCAGTAATATTTTTGTGAATATTGTTTTTACATGTTTTTCCTACATATTATAACATTGTGTTATTATGTTATGAATCTGTATCTTTAATTACATGTTGTCAAAAGGAAGTTAGTAATCTTAGTCAGTTAAAGGTACAATATGTAGGAATTTTGGAATAAAATATCCAAAAATCACTTGCACACTATAATATATTTCCTGCAGTTACTTACAATATCCCAAAAGTCTCCAAAGATTTTTTTATTTCAGAGAAATTCCAATTTTAAATAAGTGGCCGTCCCGGAAAAAAAATGTTGGTTTCCGTTCATACTGACATAGCCATAACGTAACCATGGCGACAGGCATGGACAACTATGTAGTGCATAACGTTTAGCGGCACGCGTTTTTTTTTTTTTTCAATCATTATGGATCATGGCAAGCAGACTTTGGGAAAAAAAGAGAACTAAAATGAGGATCATTCTCGCCGTGAGGTTTTCGAGATGCCGAGAGCTCCACATCTGCGACTAACTTGGAGCAACACTGCTCTTGCATATACTTCATTAGACAGGTGAGCAAATGTACATAAACAAAAGGATGTATCTGTGTTTCCTTGCAACACATGCAACTGTCCATAATATCACTTATAAACAATGCGAGATACATAGGCCTATATGACGTGACAGATCAATCATTATGCATATGTTGATTCACCTCAAGTGATCGTTATGTTGATGAAAATTCACAGTTATATTGCTCTTTGTACTTTGGTAATGCTTTTTATCACTTTTTAAATACAATCGGATTTTTAAATACAATCGCAATTAAATACAATCGGATATATGTTATTAAACAATTTAGCAAATTGTATCCCATCATTCATCATAATGTGCCTGAAATTGTGAATGTCGAAAAACATTACAATGTAAGTTCAATTAATTAGATGGGCATGGGCTATTACATTTAATTTGGTAATAAAGCATGCAAGTGTTGCGTATTTTATTGGTGCATAGACGAGTATGTGTATTTTGTAAAACAGCTGCTTTTTATCTCTTATTAGAAGTCATCTATAACATAGGGAATACTGAACAGACATTTAAATATTAAAAATATAAATTTGTAAATAGAGTTATGATGTGTGTCTTGTCCCATCAAACAATTAAAAGTTCTACTCAGACTCTCAGACAGTTCTTCACACCCACTTGAACCAAACACAATATAACGTAAGTGATTAAGTGGGTATTGGGACAGCCACAGATTCCAACAACCGACTCACTATTAGCAAAACTGAGTATGTTTCGTGTATCGTTTTAATTGACTCATTAAAATAACTAGTTCATAAGAGTCATTTGCCTCATTGTTTGACTCATGACATTCTTGAGAACACTGCGCTTTTTTAGGCAGATTGTGTCTCTCCATTATTGCATATTTATAGCCAAAAGACAACAGGCACTTACTGGTGACAGGCTTTATAAACAGATGGTTTTCATCTAGACGTGAGATAAATGTGGCTGATTCTGCTAAGTTCTGCTGCAGCTCTCTGGTTCCTTTTATAATCTCTTTAGGAAGTTATGATGAACCACAGTGTCCCATTTACTGACACAAATCAATGGGGGAATGAATGAATGACGCATAACTTTCCATCTATCTTCATTTGATATCTCATTAGACAATAGAAAATATGACTCAGCAATTATGAGGAATGTTCACTGTCCACTGAAATGTAGGCCTATATGAGATTGATACTGATGTTGATGTAAGTCATACTGAATCAAGGAAGTATTAACGTTAGCCTACCTGGAGAAGGCCATCCATTAGCATTCACATTCATTTCTTAAGTTGCTCGGCCCGACCCGATGCTGTCATCTTCGCTTCAAAGGCTGTCAATTCAGGTGTTGTGCAAGATAATGCCAATTTAGGTCTAGGTGTTTTCGGCTTCGGCTGCGAGATTTTTTGCCTCTTGCATTGGGAGGAGGACGGGTTGAACTTGAAAACCGACCGTGCTGCTTCCGGAAGTGACACCATAGACACTCGCGCGGTGTTTTGCACAGTACTAATACCGACGTTTCACACAGACAGCGCCTGTATTAAAAAGAAAGATTTA